TCCAAACCCCCTCCCCACCACTTTCTTTATCACTTTCTTTATGAAAATCATTTTTACATGGTGTATCATTTCCCCATGTCTCTGGAATAATTTCCAGCAGACGTTTTCTGCTGGTCAACTGAAAATCAGCAGAATAAATTTTATCAAAAAAGGCAATAAAGTCTGTCATCTTTATCTCCAATTTTGGAAAGACACTGGCAGCTGAAATTATCTGATGAAATATAGGAGTTGGATTTTCTCCTAATGAAACTTTAGACAAATGTTTGCCTGCTGAAATATATTATGTTTTTTTTTTTACTCTGAGAAACCTTTCTTCAAGCCCACCTTCCTAATTTTTTGAAGTAATTCCACTACAGTTGCTCCAGTAGTTCTTAACATAATATTTGCAAAGAAGCAGAAAATTCATAAATATCTGCCATGAAGTCTTCCAAACAAAACGTTCATGAGTCTGCAAAATTTTATGAAACTTAGCCAGTCATTTGCAGACAGTTTTTTTTTTTAATTTGATGGTCTGCAAAAAATGAGCAGGACAAAATGTATTTGCTGGTCTGCAAAAAATATCTAGAAATTTGCTGGTCCCTTGGCCCAGAGAGGTATAGGGTAACACTGCTCCAGAAGTTTCTGGGTGTTATGAAAGAGAAAGTCTTTGAGTTGGGATGGCTTATATCACACTGTTATCAAGTGGATTTCAGATGTTGGGGACCTGTGAGATGCGTGCCTCCTAAATGCAGGCAGAAAATAATTGGGTGGAAAACCAACCCAAGGATAAAACTGGTTAAATCAAGAGCCCCAGAAAAGCTGCAAAACTTTTTGAGAACTTTTGTTCTCTGAGATTCTGTCCCCGGATTCATATTTCACTTTACTTTTCCTGGTCAATGACAAGCCTCTAAAAAATTGCCTGATTCAGAGTAGAGTACTGTACTGGATCAAGGCCAGTCACAATAATTAATAAAAACACTTTTATCCAATTTACATCATCAGTCATCTGAGCCTATATAGCTTTGTGCAATGAACAGTCTTAATGGAATAAGTTTACCGAGAGGTTTTTTTGTGATTGTCGTTTTTGTGTTTTGAACTTGTTCTTGAAAATCCTAATCTTTATCTTTTTGTTGGGACATTTTGAAATAAAAATCTACAATCAATTAGAGATTCTACCTAGAATTCCCAGCCCTTGTCCTGGACTGAATCCGCCTTTTGCTTCCACTAATCTTATTTGATCCACAGCCCAAGTTCATCCTTTTGTTGTTTTGACCTTTGTTAGCAACATCAGATAGGGAAATTTGACGTATAAATTTGACAAAGGGAGGTTTTTGGCTCCTGGTTTGAGTTAGCAAGGTCTCAACTGTGTGCTGGTTTTTACAGGAGCTGCTGCTGCGTGTGACAGCGACCGAATTAGATTACACCCACACAAAGAAGTGCAAATGGCAGTTGAGAAACACATTAACATAGGCATAGGACAAAAATTCCTTTTACATTTTCCAAAGGTCTATTACGACTCAGGAGTGCAGGTACATGCAACCCAAGCCCCAGAACCAGAGCGGAAGTTATTGATGATGGCCTGCACCTAACGCGAAACCTTTCCCTTTTTGTCAAATATACTGATGTAGTTTCTTGGCTCATGCGGAAATCTCATTTATGCGTCACAACAATGTGTTATTTAATGGAATGTGCGATCTTGAACTAATGGAATGTGAATAACCTTTTCTGCGTGGTATAGCTATTTTTACAAACAGCCCATTCCGTATTTCATCAGCCTGTATACAAGGGTTCTAACAAAAGTTCTCAGAATAGAAATGAAAATGGCATAAAATCAAGCTGGAAACATATTATTCTTTAGGGAAAACATATTCTTTTGGCACACAAAAATCAGCCCTGTTTGACACACTTTTTTGAATGTTTAAAAAAATTCACCCTGGCAGAGTTTTGCCCTCCACTCCAAAGATGAGGCGCCCTTCCTGCAGTTTTTATTTTTTTGTAGCCCAGCTTTCCCCTCAGAATTCTTGAAATCAATTTGTCATTAATTCCAAGGATTTCACTGCCGCCAATTTGGTGGCCAATGTGGCAACTGTGAAGCCGCCACAATTATGAATATTTTTCAAGTTTCTGCCCAAATTCCCTTAGAATCAATACATTATAAACCACCCTAACTAAAATTCTTTTTCTCTAAAACCTCTGTAAGTTAAATTTTCTGGAGGCCTTCTGGCTATTATTTCCTAAAAATATGAAAGAGAAAATGATCAAAACAAATAATTTGATGCATCTTGAAAGGAAGTGAAAGACAAATATAGCAAATGAACCCCTGCCTTCAAGTTCAGAAAGGTGTAAACGCATTAAGGAGCAAGTTCAAGACCAGAATATCCTGATTTATGATTTCCCACACTTTTTCACTTCTCCTCACAACAAAAGTGTTAATTTCCTCAGCTGGAAACCTCCAAAAATCAAAACCTCCCCAAGTCGAAACCTCTATATAAGTCAATTTTTTTCCTGGTACCTATATAAATTCAAAGTACAGAGATCCAACTGTACCATTTATTTTTGAAGACCTATACATAGATTTGCCTTGATTCTCACAGCGGTGGAAGCTGTGGGACACAAATGAATGACGTATCAAAATGTATCGGAAAAGAAAAGAGGAAATGTTTCTGTGCAAAAATAGAAGGACGAAAATCAGCATGCGGAACTTCTCTCGCATATATGACTCTCGGATTAACGCGTTACGCGAATCCCGATAAACACGTCCCGCTGCCAAATGTAACGGGAATGTAATTTGCGAAAACAAACACGTCGCACAGATTCTTCCGGTCTGCATGCTGTTTCTTCCGTTTTTTCGCGAAAAGTTTCCCTATTAAACCTCTACCTATATACTCATGCACCTAAAAGCTCTTACGTACTTGCGGGCTTGTTTTGGCATGTAAACTTGATTAATGATCTATGCACCCTATATCATTAAATCCCTTATATACTTGTGTTGAACCTCCATTACTCGAACCTGCTGAATCCGAACCTCTCCAAGTCGGCTTTTTTTTTAATCCAAGCTTTTCAAGTTGAATTTAAAGGGACCAGCAAAAAATTCGAGTTAGTCTGGAATATCTGAGTCAGGGAAACAAGCATTGTTGTTGTTGTTGTGGGAATAAAGGAAGACAAACTGAAGGAAATTGTAATCGGTGATACTCTATGCCTTAAATTGCTTTTCAAATGAGTTGACATGATGCTGAATGCATGTGGAGACAAGGGTTCATTCATCTGCAGTCTTTCATTTCCTTTCAAAACACATAGAGGTCTTTTTATTGCTTTTCTCTTTCCAGCGCCAAGAAAATAATGGCCAAGAGGCATGAAACAAATTTGAGGATGGGAGATTTGAGGGAAAATCTTTTCAGATAGAGAGGTTTTCACTGCATTATTTTTCAGGGAATTCAGACAGGGACTTGAAAAAATTGGACTTATAATGAGGTTCAAGTTACTGAGGTTCAACTGTTCAATAAGGATCAGTACAAGGGTTCGTTCATAAAGTTTGAGACTTCTTGAATTAGATCCAACAGACTTTCAACAATAAAAAAAATGTATTTGAACATTCCCATCATTTGGCAACAATTCAGTGCTGCTAAACATACTCTCTGCCACTTTCTGTGAATTTTTTCATGCAATCCAAAGATTAAAACAGTGCCAAAAATTTAGTTCTGTCAGTCGATTAATAGGTCCCCTGTTGATTTATTACATGAAAAAATGCTTTTAAAAGGGGGTGAGTAGGTTCAACAGCACTGAAGTGTTACCAAATGATTTCCGATACCCTCATCTTGTTGTAAAAATCTTAAAAACTTTGAGACTACCTAGATAAAACTTTTAAGACTTTTGAATACTTGGTTGGGAACATATATTATACCATACTAGGTGGTCTTGGAACTGACCACAATAGTACTTGTATGATATAATGCATGTACTGTATACCGTATATAAAATAGGGAATATTTTTACTCTTTCTTCTTCATACTTTGGCATGTTTTCGTGACCCACAGGCGAGGGTTATTCAGGCTTTTGATATTAAAGGGAAAGATAACTTGCGAGACAATGTATAGAGGGGCATCTTGGGTTGAAAAAGGCAGCGCGGCAATTATTATCCGTTTGCTATTTTTGTTACTGTGATTCTGGGATCACTGAACTGATGAAGATGAGCTTTGGAATGAGGAAGTTGCGTGTTTTGATCTGCTGACTTCGTGTATACACTAGCTTGTATAGAGAGCATCAGAGCTTTATGTCTTTCTTCCCTGATTATTTTTTGTCTGGTTGTGTATATTCTTACCCCACAAGCAGCAGCAAACTGCGAAGCGCTCTAATTTTTTTTGCAGTGCTTTTTGTTATGTCACAGAATGCTGCAATTTGGAATAATGATACAGTCAGAAAGAAGCAATTCAAAGATGAAGAATGATTTCTTTGTTTATTGCATGAAACATTTGCACTGCAAGGCACAGTGCTTCAATTTTCTCACTTGAATATTTGATGATGCTATACGTTCTGAATTTCAATGCATTCAATTTATATGTGGATTATGTTGCTGGCAAATACCGGTACTTCAGTATGAATCAATTTCTCAAAGAATCAAAGGCCCAAAAAGAAAGTGATCTGCCCCAAGAAAAGTCTGCTGAGATCTAATTTGTTTCCATACATTATTGTTTCTGTAATTCATGGAACTGGCATTTTGGATTCAAAGAAAATAAGGCATTCAATAGTTCAAAACTTTTACACCTCATCAAATTTTCATATATGACATTCATTGATTGCTTGATGCATCATCTTCATCAATAAAGGTGAAATACAAGAGAGACTTGATGGAGTAAATTTTATTTTGAGTTACTTAGGAAACTTGAAGGAAATGCCAGAAAATAAGGTCAATTGTCAAATTTAAACCCACATTTTAACCCTTGAACAGCAGCAGCCTCCTTTCCATCCCCGGACAAAAATTGACTGTTTCCCCATGGGCATGCATCAAATTTTTGCACAAGGTTATGCAACCCCTGCCAGGTGCTGGGGAAGGGTGAAGTTGGATTTCATTTGCGGATAAAGAAATGCTGGGAAAGTCCAAAGTGGGACTTTTTCCGTATTGACCTCTAACCTGGGCTCCTGGCTTTCAAGCTTACATTCAATCTTTGAATGCGGGAACAAAACAAGGCCAGGGGGAAAAAATGAAGTCTTGAAGATTTCATTTTTTCATTTTAAAGTGAAATTTTTCTGTGGAAACTTTTTTTTAAATGCTAGGATTTTTCCTGACTTTGCCCTGCACACACTGTCATGGTTTTTTTTTAATGCCACTCTTGGATGCACCCAAAATCTGTGGAAAAAAGGTTCAACTTTTCTGCATAAGGGTTAAGTGGGTGCTGAGGGTACCCAACTGTTCTAGGGGATGAAAAGTGGTACGCGCTCCAGAAAGGTTGAAAAGCCCTGCTTTTAATATACAGTACGGAAGTAAATGTCTATAAGGTTCAAAACCTCGTAAGGTTCCTCTAGCTTGCTGTGCGCAAGTACTACCTCCTGCACGTTATAAGGTCTTTCGCCTAGGACCGAAACGACCAAGCCGTAGTTTTATCCTCTTCTTCGTCGTTTTCTACACTGCCATCATCATCATCATCCTCATCATCACTAACATCATCGGGGTCTTTGGCCAGTCCCCATCAGAACCCTCAGCAACAATTCCATCATTCGTCCGGGAATAACAGAACCCGGTCAGAATCTGGTTCTCCGACCGGGTTTCCGAGAGACGGTGCTGCTGACGATAAAACCGACAGTTACGACGACCCGTCGACAGCTGGAAAGGGGTCACATACTCCGCGAGGATATTTTTTAGCCCTTGACGATGGATTCGACGGACAGGTGTTGACTTGATTCTTTATGCAAAACACATTTCTTCTGCTGTCGTGTCGTTTCAATCCCCGGTTGTCACATTTATTTGAAGAGATACTGTATATACATCCTTCATCAGATCGAGTACAGTACACTTCTTTCATCCATCATCCGCGAACGTATCCAATAATAATGAAGCAGCAATTATAGTTAATTTGAATGGTTTTCAATTTAGAAATATTTCGATCGATTGCCGAAATAAATTTAATTTCTCTCAAGAGCGGGTCTGGGGAGAAGTGAATAAATGTATTTTAACAACGCAAATGATGAGTGGCGCTTCAAATGAATAAAATATGACCTCATAAAGTAACAAATCCCTTCAAGTCTCCCCTCCGTCACTCAAAACGACTCACACAATGAACCTTACATGACAGGATGAACCCACGCTGCTTTGAAAATTTACGAACTGAAACGCGCTCCAAATATGATGTGGCAATATATACGCTTTCTTTTAAAATGCTGTAGAAATCAATACAAACGTATTTTTACTAATTTTAGTGAGAGTATTGCGGACTGTTTGGGGCCTTCTCTCCAGTTTTTATGCCATTTGGAAAGTGTGTCTTTCATTTTACCTATATTTAATTTGTTTAAGAGGAATTGAAAATGTGTTCTAAACTTCTAATACAGCATTTTTCATCGCCATTCTAAGGGTGAAAAAGTTCATTTTTTCTTTAAAACTTTTATTCAAAAAATTTCCAACCACAGAATAAAGTAATTACTGTACGTTCCAAATACTGTACACTATTATTACAATTCATGCATAATCTTCAGATTTTTATAAGGAATTGTGTTTCTGGTTTGAAGCACTTGAAATATACATGTGTGTGATCAAGTGAGAGCCAATTCAGATTTTCACCATCATGCAAGTGTGCAATAAATTGTTGACCCTTGATTTAGGAATCTAATTCATTGTTTAAGGCAAAATTGCTCAATGGAATATTTGTTTATCAAACATGATTCTCTCATGGACTTCAATGGAGAAAAAATCAATTTTCCTGATGGATATTTTGTCAATGTAAAATATTCATCATTGCACCTGCTGGAGAATGTGTCATGTATCAGCAAAAAGACAATGAAATTGACAAACAGGTGACCATCATGGAATAACCTGAAGCATCAATTACTCTTAATGCAAATTTTTAACATGGTATGTGGTATTGCACCAGATTATGTCATGGTTCAGATGGTGGCATGGAGTACAAAAAGGAAGCTGCTGTTTCTAGCTAAATACTGTATATAGACTCAACAATAAAATATTAAAATAAATAATCCTTGTATGATCATCTTTGTGTAAAGTTTCTATCATTCCCTCAAAATAAAAATACAGTAGATATATTTGTCTTTTTAGGGAATGATGATGGTAGGTGGCATCTTCTAAACAAACGACAATTCAAAAAATTGACTTTTATGGCATTCTGCAATAAAATCCAACATTGACAAGTCTCAATAAGGAGGGCAAATAATGTTTTCCACTTGAAATGATGAAATAATGCAACCACTAAAATTCTAGGAGTTATCACATATTCTCCCCTCTTTTATTTCGTCGGAAAATTTGAATGTTTTTTTTTAACTGTAGCATATTTCAACGATGTAAATTACAACCTCTGTAATTCGAACTTCAAGGGACCAGCCAAAAAAACAGGAAATTCAATCGGTGATTTTCTTTGTCTTAAATTTATTCTTGAGTGAGTTCACATCAGGATGGTCGAGTTGAAGGCAAGGGCTTATTTGCCCACTTATAGTCCTTCTCATCCTTTCAAAACTCGTACAAAATTACATTTTTACCTCCTTTCCATTTTTTTCCTGCGTCAATAAAATAATGGGCAATAAAAGGTCTCCAGAAAATTCGAAATGCAAAACGGATGTTCAGAGGGCGTCAGCCTTCGAATTAGGGATGTTTTTAATGGATTGTTATTTTTTAAAGGAAAATTCAGACAGGGACTTGTAAATAAAAATCTGACATGGTCTGATGATGGCGGGTGGCATTTTCTAAAAAAAAACGAAAATTCAAAAAATGGAATTGTATGGTATTCAGCAATAAAATCCAACATTGTCAAGTCTCAATAAGGAGGGCAAAATGATGGTTTCCACTTGAAATTATGAAAGAATGCAACCACTAAAATTCTAGGGCTTGTCACATATCCTCCCAAAAAAAAAACCATTCCATTTTTTCAACTGGAACATATTTTAATGAAATAAAGTCCAACCTCTGTAATTCTAACTTTAAGGGACCAGCAAAACAAAAAACAGGAAATTCAATTGGTGATATCCCGTGTCTTGAATTTCTTCTTGAGGGCTATATATCATGCAGGGGTTCTAGTTATACATCATATCCAGGCTATATTCAACTGGTGTATTTTCAGGCCCAGGCCGGGGATCCCAGCGTTCCTTCTTGGCACAGTCTGGCAGCCCAGGCTGAAGCCGAGCTCAGTGTGTACGAGATGAAATTGGCGCAGGCCTTCGAACTGGACATTTCGCCGTGGGACGAAGAACCCAGGTACCATTGGAACTTTGTTCAGTCCGTCTTCTTCGCTTCCACCGTCATCACCAGCATAGGTGAGACCGATTTCTCTTATTATTTCGTCGTCGGGACAGACATATAAACAGAGAAGCTGGGCCTTATGACATTTCTAATTTCGGAGGCTATACACGTTATATACAGTTGTTTCTTGTGAACAGTACTTCAAACTTATACAGTGCAGTAGTGAGACACACCACCTGATGCCAACACCTTATTGAAATGCGGATAATTCGACATAGGAACATTTATTTTTCAATGAAAAAAAGGTCCAACATACGGACGGACATTGCATGATAAAATTGGCAATACATTTTAGGAAAATTGACTTTTATTAGGCTTGATTGCAAGAAACAGATACAGCATTTCCAAACCCTACGATCTATGCAACAAAGATTCTTTGGTACTTCTCCCATAATTTTCCCATCAGTTCAACTAATTAAAAAAATTACCTATAGCAGCATAGAGGGACTTCCTTCTCATCTCTTCGTGACTTGAATGTTATTTTTACAGATGCCAAAATTCCAACATACTATACACCGGTACACTATCCAATGCTCTAAATTTTCTAATTGAGTTGAAAAGATATTCAGTGAATAGAATTCAAGTGGCAAAAAATTGTTTCATGGAATTCTAAAGAATATTTCTTTTAAAAAAAACACCAATTAAAAATTATTTAATGTAAGTGTGTGGGAAAACAAGACTCAACTTAGGGGCATTTTGACTTACGGACACTCTTGATGCACCAATTACATCTGCATTGTCTGGGGGTCTCACTGTATTACAAAACCCAAGGATTGCCGATGCGCATCGCGAATTTGATGGCGCAAAAAATTTTGCGCATATTCAGCATGCGATATATAGAAACACAAAGAATTTGAAATTTGAAAACATGAAACAAAAACGGGGTCATGGAATGCCATTTACTTCAATATAAGTCTACTTGTTTGCCCCACACTCGAGGTATACATAGAATAAATACATCGTCATTTATTATTGGTGCACAAAGAGCGTGGATATATTAAACACTCAAAATTTTGAAGAAAAAAGTGGACACGAACTCCATACACTTTCAATATATGTTGTCCCAACACATTTGGCATCTGCGACGCAATTATAACTTCGCTTCAGTTCCCTGGGTGGTCATTTATCAGACTCATACTTGTTAGAGAACTTTCATAATGAACTTTCGGGTGATCAGATGGACAGAGAACAGGAGAAATTACGAAAGTTTATCATTCACGCATGCCTACGTAATCTCAATATTGAAGCTATGCCAAGTTTTTCTTTGATACAAATGTGCATGGCCTTCCTGTCAACGGGGCCTGTGATAAAGGAGTTGTGAAAAATTTGGCAGAGCCTCGTGGAAAAGTTTGCGGTCATTGACAAATTATTGCACAGTACTTTCACACCTTCTGCGGGTGGTTTATCGAAATTTTCTCTAAAAAAGCATTCTGAGTCATGAGTAATGCGAGTAACATGCGAAAATGCAAAATGGTTGAACTGGATCCAATTTTACTTTCTGTGCTGCGATTTCCCTCCGAATGTTTTTTTTTTTTACGCGACGACTCTTGAATAATTAAAGAGCCGAATAGAAGAACATGAAAGTCGAAGTCATAAAATGCTAAAATAGAAACCAAAATATCTTGCATAATATTTTACAAAAATTCTTGTTTACGCGCTTCACTCGTAACTCTTTTTTTTTAATATCAATTTTCCAAGAAGCATATATGATCGGTTTAGACCGACGAGAGATTTATTTTGACTTTTGACCAGCTTCAGGGGAGTGCTGTACATCATTTTTCAAATTTTCGGCGGTTTCTTTATTCGCCAAAAATTGACTGATACAAAAAAACTACGGGAAAAGAAGCTGTTACTCAAGTAAATACAAGGAATATCTTTCAGGGAAAATGTTTATTTGAATACAGGTATAATATATTAAGAATTGTGCTAAATCATCCATTTGCTCATTATTTACGCACTTGCTCTTTTGGGACTTCCACTGAATTGTGGACTTGCTCTTTTGATACTCATTGTATATACAGTGAGACCTCCAGATGCGGACATAAGTGGTGCATCAAGAGTGTCCCTAAGTCAAGTCTTGTTTTCCCATAGACTTACATTATATACTTTTTAATTGGTGTTTTGTGGAAGAAATATTCTTCAGAATTCCCTGAAAAAAATTATTTGCCACTTGAATTTTAATCAATGAATACATTTTCAGCTCAATAAGAACATTTGGAGAATTGAATAGTGTGTATGTCTGTACTGTACATTGAAATGATGGTATTCACAATAATAAAATTCAAGTGAAAAAAAGGTAGAAGTCCCTCTATGCTGGAGGTAATTTTTTGAAATTAGCTAAATGGATGGAAAATTGGTGAGAGAAATGCCCAAAAACTTTTCTTACATCAATGTTAGGGTCGGAAATATCTATTTCTTGTAATTTGGCCTGAAATGTATTTGCAATTTTATCACAAAATTTCCCTATGTTGAGTCAGTGTCCTCATGTTGGGCCTTTTTTTATTAATTTTTTCAGGGAAAATAAGTGTCCCTATACGTTGAATTGTCTGCAGGTTGGGGTGTCCGCATGTGGGGGTCTCACTGTATATACTGATGTACTCTGTACAGTGGGTGCCCCAACCCCAACCTTCTTACATTATTGAGACATGCTCTTATTCTATTGTGCACTTCGTGGATTGATGGAGTGCAAGAATGCATTTACTCATGGGTTGATTACTCTCTATCCTGATGATGCTTCTCCTTTGAGTACACCTGCTCATTTGAGCACCTCATCCCTTCTATTATTGCTCCATCATGCTCCTTTGTGCACTTTCTCTCTTATTCTTTTCAAACAAGGGTTGATTCATATGTTCTGAGACTTTTTGAAATAGATCCCAAAGAGTTTCAACAATTCAGAACCAAATTTTTACTCCCATAGCCCTGCCATTTGGCAACACTTCAGTGCTACTCAATATAGTATCCACTGCCGATTTCAAAGCACTTATTCCATTTGACAAATCCATTGACCAAAACAGTGCCAAAAATCAAGTTCTGCTAATAGTTGATTAGGCACCCTGTGACTGTTCTGGCTGTTTCTGCCAGTTAAGAATGATCTGAAAGGGAATGATTTTGAGGACAGGGACAGCCTAATTTCCTCCATCAATAAGCAGCTTGATCAACAAATGGAACTCGATTTTTTGCGCTATTTTGATCTTTGGATTAATTGCATGAAAACGTGTGCAGTGAAATGGACAGAGATTATGTTGAACAGCACTGAAGTGTTGCCAAATGAAGGAACTATTGTGAGCGTAAAAAAAATTATTTTCGGAATCGTTGAAACTCCGTTGATGAGTATATATTTCAAAAAGTATCAAAACTTATATGAACCAACCCTCGTATATACAGGTATTCATATACCATCAAAGAGTCGCGATTTCATTCCTGCACGCTCTTTTGCTATACTGTTCATCTCTGTATTCCAGGCTACGGGAACATAGCTCCAAAAACGACGGAAGGCAGAGTGTTCTGCATCATTTTCGCCCTGATCGGGATCCCGCTCACTCTGACTGCCCTCACGGACTTGGGTCGGATGTTGGCCACCAGCGCGGCCAGCCTCTACAAGAGAATCCGCGCCCGCTTCGCCTGGGTTCGCAGGGTCACCATCGGTCACGGCACAGAAGCAGGTATATGCACGGTACAGAATAAGGAACCCGAAATACTCTTCAGTAAATATCTCATTGGTACAAAGCCACTATTGCGTCCAGTAAAATTGACTTCAATGTGAAGAAAAATTTGTTGAGATGGAACTTATTAGGATATGTGCTGGTTATTATGGGCAGCAGGGACCTAAAAAAACAGCTTGATTATATGCAGTTGAAACTTGATGACTCAAACCATCCTGAGTTGAATATGTCAAGTTTCTTTTCAAGTCCCTGTCTGAATTTCCTTAGAAACAATGCAATAACAACCTACCTAACTCACAGGCTTTTCCTCTCAAACCTCCTTAACTTGAATTTTGGAGGCCTTTTGGCAATCATTATCTTGACACAGGGAAGAGAAAAGCAATATACTGTACCACATTTGCTGTAACAGAAACCTTCTATCAAATAAACATCAGCCTCTAATAATGGCTGGGTGTCAGGCAGGAGTAAATTAAGTAGGCGTGGGCTTCTATTAGTAGCCGGGGGGGGGGGTGTACACAGGGTAAAAAATATGGGGGCAGGGGATATTTGGTGGCATTTTTCTTAGACCTGGCAGTACTTCTCTACAATCCTCAATTCCTTTCACTTCACAAAAAAGGCCATGGTTCAGTGCAGCTGTTGCAAGAAAAAAAGAGTGATGGTGAATTTGGACCTGCCAACGTTTTCCTTCTTTACACAAAAAAAATCTTTCAGCTTGAAATGAAAAAAAAAGTTGACAGCTTGAAAAGAGAAATGTGCCAGGTTGAAAAAAAATCCACCAGCTTGGGAAAAAAATGATTTTTAGATGAAAGGCTGGTACCCAATAGGAGTTAGTCTCCAATAAATGCTGGGGGATGAGAACATCTTCTGAATAAATGCCCAGGGTATTTATTCAGATACAGTGCATGGAATTTGACATGTTTTGTAAGGAAGTGAAAGATTAAATTGGTCAAATAAATCCCTACTTCCAAGTTTAGCATTGTATTACCTCATTTAAGAAGCAATTTAAGGCCCAGCAGAATATAAACATTTACAATTTTGTGCAATTTTTCTGTGTTTTCTGCAGAAATTTCTCATTTCTGTAACTGAAGCCTCAATAACTCATAAATTCCTTAATTCAAAACCGCTGCTAAGTCAAATTTGTTACTGGTCCCTTTAAATTTGACTTTGAAAGGTTTGACTGTAATTGTTCATGCATTATAAGTTATGTTCTAATAATTTTCTACCATATACAGGGTAGACCAAAGAAAAGTGAACCTATTTTTTACTTACAATAGCTTGGTAGCAAATTGAACTGTGGCTATGAAAAATAACACCAAATGAAAGCTTGATCAATTTTCTTTCAAATGCTATACTTAGTTCTATGGTGCCAAGTGCCATAGCATGTTCACAAGAATAATTTAAGAGAAATCTTTCCAACAAAAGTTGTCAGGCCACTCTTCCACTCAGATGATGTCCTCCAGAGCTGTTTTTTGGGATTATCCATAGTGTAGAAAAGATCATGGCTCAAACAACAGAACAATTTTTTATCTGACCTAAACATTCTTTAGCACCCTGTCACATGTGGGGATGAGAACTGCTGTGGCCGTAACTTGAAAGTTTTCCCTTATGATTACATGCATTAAATTTTAATTGTGCTCATGAAAAAAAAACTCTGAACTTTTCAACCCCATGGGCTGAATCATACTTTTTTAGTCATACCTACACTATAGAAATAACCAAGGTCGCGTCCAAGTGGGACAACCCCTGCATACGTATTTCAATATCCGTCTCTGAAATAAATGATTTTTTCAATACCTTTTGAGGCTGCGGTTTTTGAACAATCCACATTAAAATCTACAGGTACGAGCATCGCCACGAAGTCCTTGTACGTCCTCGCCGGGTTGAGCATGCTCACCCTTTACATAGCATTCGGAGGCATGCTGTTCATGCTGTTGGAACGCTGGTCCTTCTTCGAGTCCTTTTACTTTTGCTTCATCACGATGACGACGATCGGGCTCGGGGACTTGGTGCCCGGAAACACGACCTACACCCTGTTTTGCACCTTGTACATTTTCCTCGGTCTCGCACTCACGTCCACCACGATAGAATTGGTGCGGCGACAATACGCCGAGAGCTGGGAGAGGATGAAGATGCTCAGTGGTCGACTGGCTGAGCTCTCAGGTTCGCTATACAGTATTTACTTTTAACTTTTTTATTATTCTCTGGAACCTGGTAGACGAGTACTGTGTGTATCATACACAGTATACGCAAGTACGACGGTTGGTTAATACGTTTTGCACCTTTCTGCGATAGATCGAATCATCGAACAGAGTTTTAACAACTCAATAATTGTATTTTTTTTTCATCTGCGTATCACCATCATTCGGAAACACTTCAGTGCTGCCCAACATACTCTCCACCGATGTCAATGCATTCCTCAATGATTTTTGTATTCTCTAAATTCAACGAGAAAAGATGATTTCTTTTTTTTAATGGATTGCGACTTCTGGCTGCTCGTCCAGGCGGTGAAGAACAATCTGAAAGTTATTGATTTTGAGGACAACAACAACTTCATTTCTGCCATCAAAGAGTAGCTTAATCAACTAACGGAATTCAATTTCTGGCACTGTTCTGATCATTGGATTTATAGCATGAAAAAATGCAATGAAATCGGTGGAGAGTGTTGAACAGCGGTGAAGTATTGCCGAATTTTGCAAGTAAAAAAAAAAAAAAAACCATTGTAGGAATTGTTCAAACAGTGTTGGATGTATTTCAAAAAGTCGCGAAACTTACGAACCAACCCTCGTATTTTTAGGCCCAGTCTGGATTTTGAGTAGCAATATCAGAGGGGGAGAGGAGACCGTATGATGGGCTACAAAACTATATAGAACATATATTGCGCAAGTTTCGAGAGGGAAATGCCATTTCAGACGAACTTGGCAAATGTTCACGAAACAAATGCAAATAAAAAGTACAGAATGAGAACAACTTTCCAGCCATCAATGACCAAAAGCCCACAACAGACGATATGAATTACAAATGTTCCGAGCATAAATGAACCAGTTTACCGCATCACTTTTTTTTAATCACAGTAGATGAACTTTAAACACACTGAGATTTTTTTCATTATGAAGCGGTATAAAGGTATACAGTAATAAAATAAGGATATTCATAATATCCTTCGTATGTATTAACCACTTCATATTTGTTCATTTATTTTTTAAACGCTTCATGCTTATCATGTTTATATATCCAGGTACAGTACTATACTCTATATATGTTTTGTGTTTCTCAAAAATAAGAAAATCACGCTCTTTTCACATATATGAGGTTCTATTCCTTAGAACCACGATATTGAAGGGGAAAAACATGCAGTCGCGGGCGAAATTTCTAAATTTTTCGAATATTTTGAAGATGAATGCTAATTATGATGACGTCATTAACAATAATTTTAAGGTTGTGGCTGATACCACTTCCCACAATAAAATATTTACTCAAGTATCACAATTGAGCCCTCAACTAAGACGCACACTTAAATTTTCCAGCCTATGATTCTGATGATATCCTATCCAGGAGCAAGACCACATTTTAAGTGCTGAAAAACTGCTGCATATTTCAAAATACAGTATAAAAAGACACCAGCATTTTCATTTAGACAATAATTCAATTATTTAAAATGCAAATTTTCCCGTCAAAAATAGGTCCAACATTCCCCATTAGAATCAAATATTATGCACAACGAAACATCAAAAAAATGTTAAAATTCTATTCCTGCATGTCTATGATCCCACAGGGTATAATTTACCTTTGTTTCTACACTTTTGTCTGAAATATTAAAACAGCTAAATTTGTTCTGGAAACTAGATTTATTTCAATCGAATTCAAATCTCATCATATCAAATATATATACTCAAAATATAGTACTTTTCAATTTATTTTAAATTCAGCGAAAAGTACGATAAAACTATCAGGATCACGAACCTTTTTGTATATTGTCACGTAAACATTAAATCAAATCATAAAATGACGTTCACTCAATTTTTTTTCGTGAAAAAGGTCCGCGTGGTCCCGGTGAAAACATTGTACAGTACCTCTATATTCAGAGAGAGCTTCAAAACTCTTGGTCGCTGATACAAAAATAACGAAAAAATATTCACTTAGATCAACACATTAAAAATTAAAATCTGATGCCTTTCTGTAGTCTAAAATTGGCCTTTCAGCAGTAATTAGGGAAAATTCACCCACAGAAAAGTTACTTCCACTTCTTTGGACTAGAATAACCGCATATGTACTGATACGGCTTTATACACTGTATTTAAAACGCCCTGTTTTAGAATTTAGGCTGAAAGTACATATTTTACTAGATGATCTACATCCTGAATGTTCATTTCAGAAATTATTTTGGGCAGTTTTTTTCAGCTCAAGCTCGCAAATTTGGTTGGTATCCTCCAATACAGTATATTGTATTTTTGGCCTTAGAAACTTCTCCCTGTCATCAAGACCTTGATCTGTGCATACCTCATTCTTAATTCAAAAATGTATCCCGCTGGTCGTCAGTATATTATTCCTCGCATAATGAGGCGTTCGCGATAATAGACATTCTTCGAAGTCGTATCTCGCCATAAATCCGAAGAGAAACACCTGAAATCCGAAGTGAAATGAGACGTTCCTCGACGAGTATCCTAACCCCTTCCTTCCATCACGCTTTTCCCCCAGTAACTCTGCTCAGTATATCCAACCAAACGGTATTAAAGTCTCAGTACCTTCTGGCACGCGATATGCAGATCATTATCAACCCGTTTCGCACTAAATATTATGCCAACATCGTACAATACTGTACTTCGGTTTAAAAATGTTCCGAATTTCCAAAAATCAGGTCCATTGAGCGACACCCTAAAGCGACTCGGCGAGCAAGCGCATCGCCGCGGAGGCGACATGACGAACGTGGACATGAGTCTGCTCAAAGAGCTCCGGGAGCTGCGGAAGGCGGTCGCCATTACAAAAATGGAAATGGAAACAGGATGCGCCTTGTCAGACCAGTCCTTTTCCGACAACTTCGATTTTGATCCTCCTCCACCACCACCGCCCAGGCCGAAAGTCGTGTGGATCATTTACGAGACCAATGTATGACCTCGAAGGATATCGCGGGAGTTATTTTCACATACAACGACGTTGCAACATCTTACGTGCGGGGTTTTGATGTTTCACGATCCAGGCTTCCGTTGTTCGCATTATCATCACGAGGTCTCGTCCGAAAGTTCAGTGATATCTAGGTGGAGTACCCCGGCATTGTGTTCGTCTTTTTCTGCTGCCTTCCCTCGTGTCAGGATGGAGCTTTAAATGAAAGTGAGTTTTGACAACGATTATGTGAGGAACTCATTGTCCGGACAGTTCCTCAACACACCATCACAATTCACTCTTCGTTTGGAGCTCCATCCTCATGAATGGGAAAAAGAGAAAAATTGCACACAAAAATTGAATGCTCTTCAGAGATACCATAGGAACGGGGAAGACAGAAGCCTTATCGAAACGTCTCAAGGCCGGTACGACATTTTGGAACAGCCCATCTAAGTTTCATCATGCAGTACATCTACCAACGAAAAAAAAAAAAAAAAAAAAAAAAACAGTTCCCCCCCCTTAAAAAAAAAAAAACAAAAAAAAAAAAAAAAAAAAAAAAAAAAAAAAAAACAGTGCCCCCCATTCGGGAAAGTGAAATTAGGGCTTTCGAAAGTGCATCTTCGTTCTACTTCTTTGATCTTAATCCTATGAGCACAAAGAGAAGATACCTTTCCACAATTACCTCTCGCTTTTTTCATGTAAGGACATATCACGATACAAAATGAAGACGTTGTTAATCGTCCGTCGCGTCGCCATCCGTTGTTGCGCGTGATTTTTGTTCACGCATATTGCGTGTTTCTTCCCGGAACGTGCGACAAATCGGAAATGCGAAACTTACACAGGAAACGTTCAGCATGATCTTTCATAGATCAAATCAGCATACCATTGTCGTACCGTGAATTTAATGGGAAAAACGACGTTTGCGATCAGTACGGTATTTCGAAAAAAACAATGACGCATATTCTCATGTCATTAAGTTGAGATTTTCCGCTTTTGACTTGTATTGTAAAACGTGAGACGACGGGAGAAATAAACCATAACTTTTTTCAACTTCGATGTGGAAGGCTTTTCTTTTTGATTCCCCCATGGGACAAGGAGTAAGATGAGCATTGCTTTTGGTTAGTGTTTTTCTTATCTTCATTCATATTCCACAGAAAGGTCGAGTTAGTTCACCTCGAAAAAATCTACGGTATTCTTTTTTCTGCTGCTCCAACAGGAACACCAATTAAATTCTTTTTTCAAGACCAAAATCATACACTGTGATGGAGCTTACAAAATTGCGGTACACAAATTTTCACGCTCAATTTAATGCATTCTTGATTCAACTATTTCATTCATTCAGACGAAATCTTGGAAACACAGTTTCATCGTCACATTTGATTCATAGTCGCATTGAAAAAACGGAGCATGCTCCGCTCGTACAGCTTTCATTTGTGCGCGTTTTTCCTCTCGATGAAGAGGTATATTAAGAAGTTCAACCATTATCCAGCAATCTGCACTAGAACAGGTGGACTCTCTACAAAAAAATTCAAGGGACCAGAAAAATCCGTCGTTGACAGAATTTCAACTGCGGAGAACCCTTATAACATAAAAAATCATTGCAGACAAGATTGTTGAGGACATTCTCACCGCTTTTCTTTAATTACTGCGATAATCCAACTGCTGCAAATCAACAAATTTGAAATGATTAAATAAACTGAATCTGAGCGAGCTTGCTGAACTCGTCAAGCATTTCTGATTTCATCAAATGAAGACAATTTTTTCGTTTTTTTCAGAATCCCCAGTCTTCAATGGCATGCTTACTCGTTAGAAAAAGGAACCATGTTATGCATTTTAATTTTAAGAATTGAGAACTTTACAGGATTCCTGGCATCAGAGGAGAAAAATTCCGTGTAGTTGAAATGCCGGCGTGGATAAAATCCGGGCTGGAGATAAAACCAGGCAAATAAAATGCCACAGCGGACAAAAATTACGCTAGAGGAAGCGCGAAAATTGTACCGAAAAGATTTAAAAATGAGAATCCACTCCCGAAATTTTCGATCACCAGCAGAGAGATCTCTAACGTCGGCATTTTCCACCCGGTGCCCGCACTTATCCATTAAGCAAAAACGCAAGTCTTTCGAAGTACTGCAAATGAACTGTTTATATATATATATTGTACAAGTACGCTCAACAACCAACAAAAAGTGTCTCCGTTTGAATGCCCATTCGCTCTATCACTTTCCGCGGCATGCAGAACACAGGGTCGACCTCTACAAGCTCCGCCCGATGCAATGCCACCTCTGCCTCATCATCCTCCGCCATCACTTCTTCGCAATGCGCCATCAAGGAGAGTCCAGCAAGTCCGAATAACGTGTGGAACGGGTCAGCCACGTCACCGGGTCTGTCGGCAATGCCACCAGTTTCATCGTCTTGGCAGGCCAAAATGTAACGACGCATTTTCGCGTGATCAATCCAGTGGAGTCGTCCGAGCATCTTGAGAGACGACATCACCCACCAGCTGTAACACACGTCGGGAAGCTTTTCCGGACGCCCGTTTAAGCCGCCGGAGGGAAGCTGACGCTCGCATAACCACCAACCGAGCAAATCGGCTTTCACCCTATGGAGTTCTCCTGCGTAAAAGCAAAATGCGGAAGATGACGCGGGGATTTGCGGAGAAGTGCGTATTCGACCGTCTGCTAAAATATGAAATCCTCTCGCTCATCTAAGAAAAAAATTGTCTTCGAAAATGTGATAACCTCCTTTCTGCGATGGTGTCTTGTAAGTGACTCGAGGAGAAAAAGTTCCGTAAAAAAGTCCCCGGGAAGAACGAAATCGGGAATTCTGAATGTTTGCTCTTGGAACCACAATTCTTATGTTTTTGGGTGTAGACTCTGAAGTTATATTTTCTTTTCATTGAAACGTCCCGGAAATTTATCTCCAGGAGAGAATCGAGTTGCTTTACAGTACGTGATTGCTTCAGACTAACGTCATCTGCAAAACTAAAATGGGCCCAAAAATTACTTCAAACGAACCTTCACACCGTTTTTAGCGAAAGGGCAAAAATCTCGATTTCCGCAAGAATTTTGGGTGAGGATAACGTTGTCAAAGCGTGAATAAATTAACTCGTCTTCCCTTCAAGAAATTCAATACAATAAAGAAATTGCATCTTAAGTCGTCACGCAGAATTACTCTCTTTTTGAAGCGCGAAATCATGTCTAAAAAATATAACAGTTAATGTGTTTTTTTCAGGCTACGGAAAAAGAAAATTCAAGGCCAGGCGAAACACGGAGAGGAGATCCCTACCGTGATTAACAAAGTTAACGCACTACATATCAACACGACTTATCATTCCCGCCTGTGCAAAAAGCAGTCTTATCCGAATGAATCCCGACTCACGCGTAAAATCCCCGACTCACGCGTTTGAATCTTTGTTTCCGAATGCAGCGCGATGAGAACGCGGGTTCGGATTAAACAGCAAATAACTCACCCAGAATGGACAACGCCCCGAGACAGCAGAAAATCTGGCCCGAGTGACTCTCAGACCCTACTCGCACTCCGAACCCGCCGTCCCAATTCTCGCAAGCCATCACGTAATCCACTGCCTTCTCGCGGTCGATGTCATTTAATCGGTTCTTTGAAAATAAAAATATTATTTGTGAAGAACAACGGAACTTCTCATGAACTTTATTCCATCAAATAAGGCAACTAAAAGTTCATCCATCGACTACAATACTATTCTGACGAAATTCTTGCTTGAAACTAAAACATAATGTAGTACCGCAAGCAAGAGTTACCTTCGTTAAGTTGAGCGATTGCCACTCTATCCAACTAGCAAGATAGAGTTCTATTCACAGTCATCAGATGTGACTCAAAATGTTTTCTGCCAATTCATTTGCTTCACGGTTGACTACAAGAGCTTGGAAAGCTGATTAGTACTCAAGAAAACAAGAGATTGTGGTTCAGGGGAAGTTTGACAATTAAAAGTGCCCTGCATTACACCTAAAATTTCGGAATGCCAGAAATTTTCACAGTGCGAGTCGTTTTTTATCTCTCCTTTCCTGCCCAAGAAGTTTCGTTACGCAAAATTTTCGTTACACGGGTCTTTCATTATGCAGGATTCATTTTTTTTCTCTGCATTTATAAAGCCCAACGATTCTTCTCTGCTCACGCGGTCGTTGGAGTGCCCCCGTATTTATACGCTCATTTGTAAAATGCACTCGAAACTTGTACATTTTCGGACATTAGGATAGGGGTTGTCAGATGAATGACAGATTTTTTAAAAATTCGTTTGCATACGTCGGTTCATTTCAGTTTTTCAAAACTTGGGTACTGTATTATGTTTCGACGGATATCGGTGTTATTCTCGATTAATCATCATCGAAGCGGCAGTGGAATGTCGAAATTATTTTGAAGATTGGCTCGCAGCTTTAACTAGGATGCATTCGTCCACAGGAGTCGAAATTAATTCAGTTCGAGTCCACTTCGTGACACAGATAGCAAGTACCCGACTGTGGGAATATCACGTGATCGCCCTTTTTCTCCCACCTCAAATTTATCCACGTCTGCACATAGATAAAAGAAACAAATACGGGAACAGGCTCACCAGTAAAGCTAGACTCGCCGCAGCGCAAAAGGTGAAACGTGTGTCGATTTCGCCCCAACAATCCCCTTGAAAACTACCATCCTCCATCTGCAGGCTTTGGATGAACCGGACAACACCTTCCACATCAACGATTCCGAGTTCATCGTACAGAGCCAGGACCTGTGTATTCGCAATAAAAATAATTCGATAGCTTTTTTATTTTATTTCGACGACACTAAGCGAGATCGTATAACGTTTTTCCCCATTGAATTCGGCAAATTAGAGAAGAAATCGACTGCAGTGCATTGTAGAACATCTTACATCGAAGAAACTAATTGATCAGGGGCTACGGCAGTATGATTCTCACGCTTTTTTGCCAAAAAAAACTACATGTTTCAGCAGGTTAAAGACATATAAGTAACATCATTTCTGTAACACGAAAATGGAAAATGCAAGAGGAATGGGGGAAATCCTGGTGTGATGGGAAAAATAAATGCTTGGCGATTCCGAAAAAGGGGGAAGAAGAGCCATTCAGGGCAGATGCACTTAATGCATCGTGTGATGCACTTAATTCTGTAGACACAATGAAATGTAAGTAAAGCATCTAGTGCAGTATACAGTAATAGAACTGTACGTAGAAGAAAACAATGCAGAATCTACCCAACTGACATAAAGAGTCAATAAGATATATATTAATAGAGAAATAGCCGAGACGTTTGCAAACAGTTCATGTTCTTAGTTTGAATTTGAAAACAGAAATTCAAAACGTGAACAAGTATAACAGCCAAAACAAAACAATCAGAACAATTATAACTAGAACAATTATAACAATAGGAGCAATTTTAACAACTCAAACAATTAGAATAATTATAATAAATTGAATGATTAGAGCAACCAGAACAATTACAACAGCTAGAACAAACGGAACAACTAGAACAATTCCAACAGCTAGAACAAAGGGAACAACTTGAACAAATGGAAAAACTAGAACAAATGGAACAACTAGAACAAATGGAGCTTCTAGAACAAGAAGAAAAACTAGAAAAATCAGAACAACTAGAACAACCAGAACAACTAGAACAAGCATAACAACTAGAGCAACTAGAACAATCAGAGCAGCTAGAACAATCAGAGCAACTAGAACAATCAGAGCAACTAGAACAATCAGAGCAACTAGAACAACCAGAGCAACTAGAACAATCAGAAAAATCATAACAACTAGAACAATCAGAACAAATAGAACAACTACAACAATCAGATAAAGCATAACAACTACAACAATCAGAACAAGCATAACAACTAGAACAATTAGAACAACTACTGTATAACAATTGGAACAATTACAAAAATTGAATAATCAGAACAATCAGAATAGCTGGAAGAACTCAACCAAGGGTTCTTGGCATAAGATTAGACAGCAAGACCAAACTGTTTCATATTTTGTCAAAATTATTTTTTGATGATTCCCGAATATAGTAAAAGATATTATTATTCAAATCCAGGGCTAACCGCGTATCTTCTCACTGATTCACCTGTTTTTCAGACCAGCATTTCTCAACAGCACGTTCCTATTTAATCGATTTAGAATATTTTCCCACAGCCATTGAATAAATCGCCGCGCAGTAGATAAAAATTAAAAACGCGCAGTAGATAAAATTTGGAAGGGATGAACGAATCCTACCTGCAACGCACTTAAAGTGTACAACACATGGGGGTCGTGCCCCAGGGCAGGACGATAACCACCGGTCACAGGGTCATAACAAGACTGCACAAAATCAATCACTTCTTTCCTCTCGGTTTCCTCAAGGTTTTTCGCCACATCTCTGGCAGTGAACAGCCAGTACATTCCGGACATCTTGAAGTGTTCGCTCATGACCAACTCCTTCACGAGAAACAGAAACCCACGCAGGAATACAAAAATAAATTGATCAATAGAGAAAACCGACGGCTCAAAAAGGTGAATGAAAATCGAAAAAAAAAAAACGCATGAACGTCCGATAACCTAACGGTGCATACAAAATATCAACAAGATTGAATTCCCAATTTCCTTCAAATATCATACCGCCACTTTGAAATCTCGCGTGACGGAGAGAAGTACAGCGGTAACACGTTTAACTGCCTAATCGATTCCAGCACATCGTATTTTGCCAGCTGTCAACATGGACATTCGAGGAAAAAAGATCAATACAATCCAGAACAGAATAATTTCAGAATTATGTTAGCCAACACAATCGAAACGCCGATATCGATATTTCAGGGAGAACACTGTTGGATACGAGCCATTAAACTGTGCGTAATGCACCAAATTTCAGAAACGAATATCGGAGAAAACGTTATAAATTTTTGCAGTTCGGCTGCTAATTTGGGCAACACTGTAAATAACAACGATAAAAACTCACAAGTTCTTCACATTTCTCGGGATAAGAGGATAAAAACGTGCGATGCTTGTCAATCAGCAACGTCTTGGCCATCCGGTCCTCCAAAACAACATCTTTTAGAAGCATTTTTCCAAATTATATCACTCTCCTGTTCAAAGAAAAATAAGCGGCATCAAAATCTAACGAATTTTCCCAGGCAGAGAGGTTCGTAACAAGATCCGCGATTTCCAACAATTCTTGTACAGTATTTCTTTAGTCCAAAAAACCATAACAAATACAATAGCAAACATTTCCCAAGATTCCCATGAATTCTCAGCAGGACGGAATAGCAGTCACAATACACATACAAAGCTGAATCCGCTGGACGGAAAATGACCCTTAAACGTTGATATATAAACCGTATAAACACTCGTGAGTTCAAGTTCATGTAAAATACATTCTCTGGTATATTGCAGATCTGAAAAATCATCAGAATTATGCATCTTCCAGAAAGCCTCCCCAGAGCAGTGCATAAAAACATGAAACAAAACGTAGAGGACGATCAAATAACAACCAACTTTCAAAAAACAATCAATAAAATGCCTCCGCTAAATGAATCCTTCTACTTTTCACAAGTTCGAATTCAGCACTTGCCACTGCTTGAACTACAACTGCAACCCTTATATTGCATACACGAAAATGTAATCATAAAAAAATAACCAACGGGAAGTACATTCCCAAAAAAAGTATTCAAAAATTGTCGCACGAATTCACTCTCTCGAAGTCCGCAAGCTACAACGGCACCTGAACAAGTTTCGTAGCTGAACATAATTCTTCCAAAACTCACGCCAAAATTCCGGTTCAACCTCGAATCTGACAGGGAAAACGTCACATGATCACCTTATACAAAACGACACACAAGGTCACAGATAAACCCGAAAATCGCACATTGCTAGCACTGTTGCCGAACGGGAAAAACCGCACGAATCCTTCGGTAGCTTCCCACGGATTCGCGCCATCGTCGAAAAACATGGGACACTGATCTCTTTCTCGTTCGTATTCCACCATTGAAAGGGCAACGGAAGCACCTTCAGTGGCATTGTAACTACTCACGTTCTGCCTCACATCGCAGAATGAACCGAAGGCTTCCGACATGAGAACTTGATTTATGTCCGATCGCTGGTACACCCAACATCTAATGATATATAAAAAAAATACATGGTAAATATTCAAAAACCATGCCGGCTTTTATAAGAAAAAATTCTGTCTCGGAATAATTACATTGCTTTCTGTAATGTCACGCAGGTGTTGCATGAATCAATTACCTTAGCAGATATGACGTTACAAAACATAAACTTCTGTGCCTTGAAATGAAGAAGAACCTAATATTTAATCAATCCTGGACAACATCATGACAAGGAAATATGAATTCATGATTCAAAATATATTACATGCGACATCTGGACAACATGAAAGAAAATGCCATTATTTTTGAAGCCGGATCTCACGATGACGAAGACCAAAATTTCTAATACTGTACAGTAAAAATCTCCTTACAACGAAGCCATGTGGACCAGTAATACAGCTTCGTTCTCGAGAAAAATTCGTCATGAAGGAACCCAAGTAACTTTGCAGCTATCGGACAGGGACCTAAAAACGAATTCGTCGTAACAAGATTCTAGTTCATAAAAATCCAGTAAGCTCTAGTCGCTTTCGTCGCGAATAAATCTCAGATTCGCGCAAGCTAGAGGTGATCAACAAAAGAGCTTCAACTAACAGATTCGAGAATTTTTCGCGATATTGTCGAGAGAATAACACACCTGTACTTGGAGAAGGCATCTAATTCGTCGTACGTGATCAGATACGAACGCAGATTTTCTTTCCAATATCCAATACACTTGAGCTTGTAATCAGGATCACTGTAAATATCCACGGGACGACCCAAGTAATCCACCGACAAGCAATACTCCGCATCTATCCAAATTTCTTTCTGATCCCCGCATACGGAGAAGTCTGAAATGTTCTCTTTGCAGTAGATGTTCGGTCGCGGGCTCTGTGTCACACCACCCAGGATTCGAGTTCTGAAAGGAACATCGCCGATTTGCTGAAATTTGAATTTTCCGGCTACGGGGCATTTAATAGGAACAGGATTCTTGGCAAGCCAGATGTTGTACAGCCAGTGGTCCTTGCCGGGGAATTGCACCCAGGAACAGACAGTGTGAAAGTCGGTGATGATCATGTTTGTTCCCCTTCGATACCTGTAGTTGACAACGGATGAAGATAAATGAAATTACTTCAAGACTCTGTTTCTCTCAAAATTTTCCGATTTCTTCTTTTTTTTTCCAACGCGGGAGGAAAGATATTCAACTAAGTCACGAAGGTATTGATCTGTTCTGAAATTTAGGATATACGATTAAGACACAACTCAATTTTCCACTAAGATTAGATTCAATCGTATTGCAAGTCTTGCACTCGTCATCACGGAATTTCGAGAAATCAGATACAATACTTCCAACGAAATAATACGGCATGCAATCCTTCCCCGACTGTTATTTCACTTTTCGATCACTCAAAATACGAAAGGAGAGAATAGCGTGTAGAGAAAATTCACAGACCCTACGGATGCCTATTTTGTAAATTCCAGAGATTTGAAGGATCAGAAGCTCAGAAACCGGAACAACATCCTAATCCTGAATTCCTGACACGCCTCAATTTTCATCATTGTTCGAAGTTGAGAGAAGAAAAATGTAACGAAGAACTTAGAGAGGACATCGAGCAGGACTGAGGTAAAGTTCGATCATGAGTAGTTCAAGTAAAACTTTTTGCCGACCATAGAGACATTCTTGTTGAATTCTTTCAAGATCCGGTGATCACAGAACAATTTCATCATGCTTGTGGACGAAGTATATTACAGGTGGACTCTCCCTGCGACGAAATGTGAGGAAACAGAAAAAAATGCATTGTTGAGAGAATTTTGTTGCGGAGAACCCCTATAACATTGGGGAAGTACCGTATGGGACCAAAGAAATATTCGTCAAACAGAGAAAATCGTCGTAGACAAAATCGTTGTTGAGAGAGTCCACCTGTATAAATAAAACAAGGACGGTAATCTTGGTCTCTACCTCAACATACTCGACTTTTGATGTCCAGAAGACTTCAAGTAATTTAATGACCTTTCCAAACCCCCAAAATGAATCGTCACGGAACAATACACGGTACAAAAACATTCGGTATAACAAGGCTTACCGAATAACGTTCTGATGTTTCTGCAAGAACTCGAAGCACACGTAATCTTTCTGGCATCCGTCAATTCCCATGCGGGCCACCATAAACCGCGATCCTCTTTGCTGTTTGCACACGTAAATTGTTTCCCTATACCGTCCCTCGTCGGGATAATAAGTTTCCGTGATGTGAGTATCGTTGATCACCACTTCCGCGTCCAAATTCGCAGTGTTGATCCATTCTCCGGAAAAATCCTTCGGAAAAGAGCAACCCGGAACCTCTGCTTCGGCCTTGATCGGAGTTAGTCTCAACCTTTCAGGGCTCGTTTCAGGAGACTTGAGAATGTTACATTCTGCAGTAATCGTGGCGCCGACGAACAGGTCGTCATCGCGATTCCGCAACATGCATCGGTATTTCTCATCCTTCCGAGATTCCTTCGTATTCACAACAGCAATGTAATGGTTCTTCCCAATGAACCAATCACCTAAACAACTGTACTCCACGACGGCATCCAAAGAGTCTTTCATCCCAGAACACGGTCTATGAGAAAAACAATTTAAATTATTTTCAAGTACAACCCTGAAATCGGAGTAATTGAAAAAACCATTGGTTTTCGATCGTAAGCGTAAGAAATTCGAGTTCAACATTCAACATTCGTAGCTTTGCTTATTCTACGTACCTATAAGTGATGTTGAACTTCTGATTCTGGATCAAGAATTGGGAGCCAGGAACTTGGCAAGACTGCAACCTCGCAGCAGGATGGTTACATTCTCCAGTGAATCGGTATTGATTCTTGTAGGTAAAATGCCACACTCCCTCAAAACTGGAGCGGCAATTGATCGGTGTCGGATTTTCGGAGAAAAGGGTAGAAATTTCTTGAGCATTGTCGAACTGCCGACAAATCGTATCGATGGTTTTTGTTATGTCTCCTCCTGCTCGCGCAAGGTCCTCGGGTGGAACGTCAACGCAGCCTGTTTCTCGCTTCTCCAGCACGTTGATGGTTCGTACGTAAACACGGACACAATGATGACACCTACGGGGAATGACTTTTCTTCAAAAGAAAATCTCAGCTTCTCAAGAAAATTCGTTAATCGAGGAACAAATCTGAAGCACACCCACGTCATGAACTATTCAATTCTCGAAAAGTGTACTTCTAGGGCTGGTTTCGGGTATAAAACTGATGAAAGATCATCAGACGAATTCTGCTTTCAAAAAAGTCTGTTGAAACTTGAATCCACTTCCCGAGCTTGACTTGAGACTTTAACCAACCATATCCAAAATTACGGGAATTAAATACAGAATTCTTCAATTGTTTCAAAATGTCGGGTTCCGAGTCTTTTGGCCGGAATGTTGCTGAACAGAAAGAAGGCTTGAAAAACTTTCGCAGAAGCTGAACCTGGTTGAATTTGCCTCTCACCTCGAACCACCTCTTTCGCGAAAAATGAACATGATGTCGTCTTCACGAAATTTCCGCATCCACGCACATTGTCCCACTCTCGTCATCGAGTCAGCGTCGATGTCTGTAACTACGTTTTCACCATATTCACGCGAAAACCATGATCCCCGCACGATCACAGGAATAGAACAAGGACCATCTTGTGGCACCAGCACAGATTCCACTTCCACAAGGCCGAGACACGGAACAAGCACAAGTAACCAAATCGGGGTCATACCGTCGGTCGTCAGAAAAACAAAAATAAGGTACAAAATCCTTCCAAGAGAAAGAAATATTATTAAAACAGACTCGACACACATACAATATTGATCAGTAAAGATCATATCAATGGCCGAGTCGCACTGAGATTGACAATTTTAAAATCACCATGGCACTGCTATTAGTAAACCATGCATTGCAGAGTGAAGAGGAAAAATTAAAACCCCTTACTGCACCGACGTGACCATAAACCTCGTTCCCGGAGTAGGAAACCAGGAAGAAAACGGGAACAATGATCAGATTATCCAATGGCATGAACATCTTTCCTCATTTCAAAGTCTGTTCGAACATGTTCTCTTTGGAAACACGTGCTGCTGTAAGTGAGGGTGACTGTAACATTTTACGCGAAGAAAATTCAAATGATCCCAAATTGGAGTTCAAAAATATCCGATTAGAATTACATCATCTCATATCATCGTTGTTCTTCGAAATTGCGCAAGAAAACACTAGATTGCATAAGTCCACGAAAACGTGTTAAAGGAAGATAAATGCTCACATATTTCTCTCACATTAAGCTATTGAAAAACTTCCACAACGAAAGTTTCCGAAAAATTATCTCGACGTCAGATATTCTTCCAGTCAGCTTACGAGACAGCCATTGATATTCGACATCTAATCAAGGAAGAAAAGACACGGATCGGAAAAAATCATCAATATTTGGCGCTCATCATCACTCAGGTACGACTAGTGCACAGTAACAACAATCGAACACTTCAAAGTGCGAATTTAAGGCAGATTTAGCCCATCACACAACGTTTCTTCAATAGGACGGAGAATAAACAAGGTAAGCTACAAAATATTCAACAACGAGATCAAAATGTCGCTCTGCCTTCGCTTGATCATAATCATTGAGAACTCCGACGACGGTCATCGAAGACAAGAAGCATAAAACCTCACTGTACGCAGCAAGCGACTGAGCCTACGTTTTTCGTCCGTTTTTTGTATTCCAGCGCCATAGCGCGTCTTCTAAGAGCCTCTAAATAAACGTCTCGTTGGAAAAGTCCCGCAGACAAGGGAATGCTAAAATAAAGACTAATAGAGCAATCTATACATTCAAATCAATTAAGACAACTCACTTGTCTCTTCCTGGACGCAGGGAAACGCTGAATAGTCCCCAGACTGGTTTGTGATCGGATGACATGAACGACTGAACGGAATTGTAACTAAGGCATGCAATCTCCGTTCTCCCCTTCGATTTGAACAAAATTCGATCCGTATATGACGGTACCCGTGCTTTCGAGGAATCCCAGGAATTCGTCCCAGTTTCGTACTTGTACGTCGGAGGAAACGCAATCTTTCCTTCTGAAAAGCCTTTGAAGACTGAACCTGAAATATTCAGAATTTGTCGTTCTTTTGCATAGATCTTTAAATGGTGATTACCCGATATCTCCAAGGCATTCAAAAGAATGCCGTGTTGTTCAAAAGAAACAACACGGCAAGAAGTTCGTTTTTCAGGAATAACTTTGACAGTAAAGTGAAAGTTCATCGATCGTGGAAATGCACATAATTAAATCAGTAAATGGTCTCACCTTGCTTCATTAAAAGGTTCAACTGATCAAAATTTAACGCAGCTTGACTGAAGATAGGTCGCCCATTTTGCATCACGAGATTCGTGATACTTTCTCGCTCCGCTTCCAATCGGAAATTCAGGTCTCCCATCCAAAAAACTGCATCAAATCTTGCAGTAATATCTGTAAATTTAAAAATAAACTTCAACTATCTGCAGCACATATGTACGAACACGCCAAAACCACTCTTACCGTCTCCAGGTCCATGATGCCGAATCGGCAACTTCGACGGTATTTCAACCGTTGAAATGATTCGTTGATAATCCTGGATCCGCTCTTGTACCCGTTCTTGATCAGAGCTTAAATGAGAATCGATGAAAAGGAATGATGTTCCGAAGAAGAGAATCGCCATACAAACAGCTCCTTTAGTTTTGATATTTGTCGGCGGTCGAGTACTGATAATCCCGTCGTCAGGAACTGTATACATGAAAATAAAAACTCTCCCTTCAGTTAAAGATGAAAGAAAAAAAACCACGCCTAAGAATGTTGCTTAATACCGAAACATGACGTCCGCACAAAAGGCTTCATGATTTTCCGATGAGCATAAAAATGTAACCAATACGAAAAACACAGGTACTGTATTGTATATGTAATGCGAAAAGTTTACACGCGTAAGGCTCGCTCAAGTCAATCACATTTTACACAGGGTACGGGAGAAAATCCCGTAGGGCCGATAATCCGTTAGGCATGAAAATTTCCTACGGTAGGCGGGAAAATCCCGTGTATTAAAAAATTGTGAAAGTGTGTCTCCCAACCGTTTTGAAAGATGAGGATTCCCTTCTGGAGAGAAAGGTCAAGAGGAAGCCTGAGGAATATGTAGCCTTCATCAGGAGCTTTAATCCCTACATTTGCTTGGAACTGTGTACAGTACAGTACTTTTTACTTCTCATCACAGATCAGCTATACCTCTTGAAGTTATGAACTTCTACGAATTTGCTTGAACTCCTAAAATATTTGTATTGAATTGAGTTTGAAGGACAAAAAAATATTCAGGGGTGTTAATGCATCCACGAGGATGCAAGGAGAAATGCAGTAGTTTGAAGATTAAATTATTACGTCATTCACTGTCAATCATACACATATGTCTCCGAAACTTCGGGTTACTTCAGGGAAATAAAAAATGCTTGATGGTGGCAGCGGTGATTTTGTACAGACCATCGCAAATTGCAATCATAAAAGATTGATATTTCTGATAAACAAATTAGGCGATTTACAGGCAGCGGGATGTTTTCTTCCAGGGGATATTCTCATGGAACCTTTCCATCAAACAAAACATCAGCCTGGAGAATCGGCTATGATTCAAAAATAGCGCGGGGGAAAATTTTTGAAACTTACCAGAGCAAAACCAGATCAAATCCCGTCGCAGAAACATGCATATGTGCAATGTTCCAAGAACAACACTATGCAACAGAACGTGCGTCGGCCCCAAAGTTTCTTGCAGCCGTATCTCCCACAATTGCTTTCCTGGAAAACTCTCTTGAGTTCCGATCACGTAAAAGTCTGCCATGGTTGATGCTTCCGGAGGAAAAAGAGAGTCATCCAAATTTGGCGGAGGACCCTAGAAAATAATTGAAAATCTTTTCAAGAACTTTCGGCAAATCTGTCGTCCAAGTTCGACTCTCGCGACTTTCTAAGCCGATTCGTAGGTTTAGCCAGAATTCCACTGAATGTTTCTGTGAAGTAAGGTTCAACTGAGTCGGGATAGTTGAGTTCGTTTGGATTACTAGAATTCAGGTTGAAGATTCAGACAACATCTGGACACATTTTTAACCAACCTTGAACACTTATATGATTACAGTGTATGGCAAGAAAAAAAAAAATTACCGCAAGTTCTCGCAGAAACCCAAAATAGTTAGTTGTGAACAACTTTTGTCACCCATGGGTTCCAATATCCAATACAAAAAAACACACATCTTCTACCTGGCCATTCATATTCCAGGTCACCACGTGAACTGTAAGCTTCCGATCCGGGAAGAATCTTCCCAATTCTCCAGGTCCCAGCAATGATTCACCACAAACGCTTCCAACTAACCAGCTCCTGAAGCATCGACACGACAAATGATGACTCAGCAGAAGTAGATTAAGTACTTGGATCATACCTCATCTTTGCATACTCCGACGTGATTTTCGGCATGGCGCCCTCTTTATTCGACATACCTGGAACTGAGGAACAGCTGCAACTACGAACGTTCTCGCGAGGAACGAAGCTCGAGGATACAAAAAACTCCTTTTCATCGTTTTCAACCTCCAACGCGGAAAACGCGAGTAATTCTTTCAGTCCTTCCACTTCTTTATCCTCGTCACACCCGTCAACGGAATTACTCTCCATCAAAGAGAAAAGCTTAAAAAAAACTTAAGCCACGGATTTTAAAACAAATCACACGTCAACTCGCATTTCCCCTGTAAAGAAAAATGTATCTATTCCTTTCAGTCGGGTAGATCATATTGTAATGAAAGCCTATTTTCAGGAACAAAGTAAGACGCCAAACACTTTGCTTCAAGAAGCTCAAACGACGGTTTTGACGGGATTCCCCTCTGTTCATTCATTAATATTCAAACGCGATAACAATAATGAAGGCGAAGAACAGTTAATCGCGTTCCACACGAATTCGAAAGCTGGGAAAATTTTCCATTCATTTTTTCACCCTTTCGTTATTGAATCGCATCTCCAGCAGCCTTAGCAGCTTGTCGACGTTTGACGTCCCAGTTGTAGACTCTGGCCATGTTCACCTCAGTTGTGGTTATTTGATCTCTACACAGATCGACACAAAGATAATGATTTTTTCTTCCCGTACGTTGAAAAAAATACTGGATGACGAATGAGTTGCATTGACGGAACAAATTACAGTAAACCCTTTGATTACCAACAGTAAATTGAAAAGAATAGGCCTTACTTGAGGAAATCCAGATCATGCTGAATGATGCCCAGATTCTTTTTTGCAACCGTCATGTTCTGGGTTAAAAGTGCTTCAGCATCTTCCAGAGTGTACTCGAGCATCACATTCGCCTGTGAAGAAACGTCAACATGTACAACGACCAGAAAAAAAAACCAGAAATCTTCGCCCTTCAGGTGGCGAGTATCAAGGAGTCTTGTTGAATAACGCTTCTGCGATTTGGTGATTTTCCATCAACAAAATACAATTTGATTGACTTGAGTCACGTTGAAAAAGAACAGGTTTTAACCAATATCTCTCCAGAAATTTAGATCAACTGAATTTTCATCAGCATCTCCAAGATTCCCTTCGAACCTGTTCTGAAAAACTCGCGAGTGCTGTTATCCTAAGAAATATTATCAAACATAATATTAGTAATAGGAATCTCTCTACAACGAAATTTACGGGGGACCAGAAAAGTGACTCAATTTGTTCCAGATGAGATGGGCAGATAACCCCATTAGACAAACAAAAAATCATGACAGAGAAAATCGTTGTAGAGAGATTCTCCCTGCATACGACTGATTCCCTGTTTTTGCATCACTCATGTTTCTACTGTATCAGGCTTTACCTTCACTTGGAGTTGGAGGAATAGGAAAACAGTTGGATTCGGTCTTGGAGACAGAAACAGTCGCGCGCACTGTTTGTTGCAAAAATTCTGAGTTTGACACTCCTGTAAAATAACTGAAAATTGCTGTTTTGTGAATCTATCGTGGACACTGGCTTCGTGTAGAACTAAAATGTATGAAGTTTAGCTGGGTGTCATGCTCGGACGCCTCAAAGAAGTCTTAGCCGAGTCACATCTGGCTAATCGTCTGCGCATTCATTTCCATAGTTTTTCAACCGTTTTCAGTACTTTTAAAACTTTTACAAATACGTAGCCGAATTACTAACTTCAATCCACTCGCATTTCTTTTTGGTGTTGACAAAAAAAAATACTTACACCCAACCACAGGCACACAGTCTTGGTCGGTGGGATCGTCGCCTTTGCAAAAAGCTGCTCGGAAATCAAGAAGTGCGCTGGTAAGCCGTTCCCGCTCTTCTTCGCGCTTTCTTCTTTAAGCTTCTTGACGAGTTCCAACGACTTCTCAAGATCAGGCAACTGAACTCGCAATCTTGAAAAAAAGAAGAATCATTTCAGCAAAAAGCCTAGAACAATACAATTTCGGGTCTTTCATCACCCGAGGTGTACAAAAGTTGGGAGTTTAAATGACCGCTTATAAAATGCAATTTCATGACTCATAGAAAGGACTCCTCAAACGATCTAGAGATTCGTTACTTCAAAAGACAAAGTAATAAGTAAAAAAAATGTACTTATTTAAGAAATTTTTTAATGCAATCCAAAATTGCCAGAATCTTAAAATTAAAGTCAAAACGCGAATGAAGCACTTACTTTCGCTTTTTTTGTGTTAGATTCAGCTCCATAAAGCGATACTTAGAATGCATTTCGTCAAACTGTTTTAGAACATCCTCGGATTTCCTATCATGGTCCGGATGATTCATGTAAGCATCGACATCCTCCTGTCACAAAAATGCAACCGTAAAAAGAACACGTAAAGAAAATGAAGTACTGGAATCGAAAAATTGAAGTCAAGCTCAATGTTAACTCACAACAAATTCCGCTTCCGGAATACCCGCATGAGATTTCTTCTCCGGGTCTTCTGGTCGCGTAGGAGGTGGATCCATCGAAAACACTATTCAACGACTCAAATGGTCAATGCCTCAGTAAAGACGCCGACAGGTAGATCCCCGAACGGATTTGGAAAACACTTCGTTTATACGAAGCTTAATAATGTGCGATTTCAAAGCGCCATGCAAAATTGAAGAAAAATCTACATACAACTGTAAAAACAAAAAACACTCGATTAAAACTAGATACTTCACACCAAATCCATGAAAACCAAAAGATAATGACTGACAATTAAAAAATATGCGAGAAACATCACGAGAATTTCTTTCCTTCGTCAAAAACACGACAAATGTATTCCAGAAATTCACCACTTCCCGCAATACGCGACTTAGGCTTTGGAACACTTCGTTAATCTCTTTGTGACTGAAAAAATAAATATAGTTTCTAGCAACTCATTAAAACAAATACGGAATTGTTTTCACAGGTTCGTCACAATAATGCATACGTTCGGTGGTCTCCGGTAATAAAGGTTGATTACGTAAACAAGGCAAATAAAATTTTAAAAGGCTCCCTGGAAAATAAGCTGGTAACTTTTCAAAAAGGACGCAAACGCTAAATCAATAAAACCTTTTGTGAGATTCTCTTCGTTTCAAAAAAGGGGAGTGGGCTGTTGAAACCCTTGAAGTTGCAATTATTATGAATTGCAATCGCGAGGATTTTTTCCGAACTGTCATAGCATGTCAACTATAACAAGTCAGAGAAGTTTTGGAGGGACAAAGGACGGAATTTATCTATCCCGTGAGAAAGTCTCGAAAATGATTCAGTAAAATGATTCAGTACAGTAAACTCTCAATAAAAGTCAGGTAACCAGTCGTCGACACGCCACAAAATGGCGTAAATGTCTCTCTTATAGGCTGTTTCGGTAGACGCAACCGGGACCCCGGTGTAACGAGGGATCAGACTACGGTAGCCTTTCCCAACCGTGGCAATGACAGACTGGGGTTGTTTCGTTTCCTCGGGCACGGCCTTATCTTCACTACTGACCTCGACAATGGCCGATGAAAATTTCATCGGTTTGATCACACAAAGATCCTCTTCAAAGGGTCGAAACACAGTCACGGGGCGCATGCTCTCGGCATTCGCCACGATTAAACAGCCCCAAGTTGTTCCTATGTAAAGTTCGGAATTTATGACTGCCATGCTGGTAACCTGTGAAAGAAAAGATGCGATGAAACTTGAGAGGTGCATTCAATTCTTTCAATTATTGTATCACGCAATTCCACATATTTGAACTGCCATTTTTCACAACACAAACGTATATTCAATTGACTTCATCGCTGCGCATTCGCAAATCTGCTCATTTTGCATACAGCAGTTTTTTTTATTAGCCCTTCATCCAAGATCTGAGCGGGCATACATACTTGACATTTCATGAAATTAAATCAGGTCCAATTAATAAAAGGAAACAACATTCCGTAGAACAGGATGTTAGAATACACTACAGGATGGGCTCAAAACAACCAAGACGGCAAGACCTGACGCATCTGCGTAGGGATGCAATATAACTAACCTGACAGCGACCTGGACTCAAATGCTCATCAATCGCTATGGATTTCAAAGATTCTGAACAAGGCGCCAACTTCGAGCAGTCCAGCTGTCCTGAAATTGAGTTTGTTCTGGTGTCCCACTGATAAACGATGCACCCTGCCAGGATTCAAAATCGTAGATCCGCGAGTCAGTCACGAGCACACACATCACATATAATAATAGTACAGTATATACAGGAGGACTCTCCCTAAAAAACAAAATTCAATGGACGAGACAAGAATTGAAAATTCGTTTTAGAGCGAATTTCGTCTTAGAGAACCCCAACAGGCATACATCATGGGGAGAGAACCATATGGGACAACACAAAAAATATTTGAACAGTGAAAATCGTGAACAAGATTTTGTAGGGAGTCCACCTGTGTATATACGTAGGCTGCACAGGACCACCAAATTAAATCCCAGTTCCAAAAAAAAAAGTGCGAAAACGTAAAAAAATAAAAATCGTCAGAAATTTGCAATCACTGTATATGCCTGAGGATTCAAATTGAATAAAACTGTCAATCTTACCAGGGTAGACGTACGTCCAAACAAAGTCATTTGTTGCGGTTTCCGGGGCATACGAATGAGTTACTATGTGAAGCACGTCAACTTGATCGATCAATGGATTCGAATGTTCCAATGTTTCTTGAGATGTGACCATTCCGCTGCGAAGAGTAAAGACGGACACCATTCCTCTTCCTTGGCCACACCACAACTGGGCTTCACTGTACGGGGACAAAAGAAGGGCATACAATAGCTGAAAAACTAGATTTTCGAACATTTCCGATAAATCCTTGTCTCAAATGTTTGAGAAATATTTCTACGCATTATATTATTCAGCACATCCCAGAACTGCGCGCTCAAATGAGCACGGAAAAAGCAGAAAGGTATGGAAGTACTGTACCTACACCGGTGGAACAGTTTCCAATGTACAAAGCACGAAGTACGGTTTCGCAAAAGTTTCTGAGATTCACAAAAAATAAAAATGCGTTCGGAATTCAGGAATTTTTATGGTTTAGCCGCGGTGCTTAATATTTTTTTATTAGAATGAATCCACAAGAAAATATCGTAGTCTTAAAAAATTTGTTTCATTGTCTTTCAATCAAGAATGAAAGTAGTTTTGGTTTCCTGACGTTTTTCCGTGCTTGCGTTATTTTTCTTTCGCACTCTTCATCAATTTATGGGAATGCGCTGTTTTCGGACGCGCTCCCCAGTCACCTCTTGTAACAATTAATGCAAGAAAAGCACTTCAATCTGATGACAGAGAAATTATTCTCACGTTTCTGATAAAATTCTCGAGGAGAGTGAGAATAAAGTCCCCGACGGGCCTCCTGCCAGTTCAGTCATGATGAAAAGCCCTTCTCCTCGGGTGGGAGACGAAGGACGAACGTCGGACCGGCACAGGAACAAGCGTCCGTTGCCCAAAGCTACACCGACTCGGTGAAGAGTCTGAATGTGTACCATACAACGTACGGGCGAAGGTTCCGGTGCATCAGGTTCCAGGGTATAATCGAACACATGAGTACATCTCGTCGCACTACAGGAGAAAAATCGCGAAAACACGAAAAGACTCTCAGTCTATTCAGTCATATCCTATACTTTCAGATTTGAGTCAGCAATTCACCAATAAACGTGAAGAGTTCCCCGCAGGTCTCCACACCAAATGAGGTCGTCCACAGCCTCAATTGCCGTTATTGCGTCTCCAACGTCTGTCAAGCCCACGTAGTCCACGAACCCCGGGCCACCGTTTTTCTCGTTCGCAAAGCTCAAAACGTCCACTGCACAACCACAGCGGCTAATCCATAACGATGCCCATTGCTTCGCCTCGTCAACCTGCGTGAATAAGGCAAGCAACAATACATTTCGGAAAACAGACATAATACTTGAAGTACTGTCAGCTAAAAAAATAAAAATAGAAGTCAAAAAGAGGCACTATATTTGAATTACAGTCAGCTACAAAAAATATAAGTCCCGTAATGAGAAATCCTTGGCAATCAAAATGTTGGTGAGCTCACGATTCACTCTTATGAAGCTTTCTTATTTCTACTTGAAAGATTATTTCTTCTCTGCTCAGAAGATTACAGAGAACAGTATATTGCGACATGTAACGTACTGATGTCCAATTTATTTACCTGTTCTTTTCCAGCGCCATACTTCAAACAGTCAGAATGCGCCACTAATGCAGCAGACATCACAGTTTTCTGAGTTTCCAAAGACACGACATCAACCATGTGGGTGAACTCTGGTGCGGTAGCAATCGATACGATCTGAGAAGCGGACGGTCGTTTTGAGGCTTGATGCGACCAACAGGCAGCCATCAGATCCAAGATGTATGCTGGATATTGCGTCGTTGACTGAAACAAAAGACATTCAATTAAAATTGATATTTTCCTCGTTTGTTTTATCAAATGCAGAAATATTCCGGGCGCACGAGGGTAAATCATGCTTATGGTAGACTTAAATTTCAACACAATGGCCGACATCCATGTCCTTTCTTGGTGTACAAAATAATCTCACGAATTCGAGCACAGTTTTAAAAATTTCGGGTTAAGTAATAGAATTGTATGTGTGTCAAATCAAACTCAAGTAGAAGAGGTTGGCTGGGTTCCACGCGAATTTCCTCAAGAACAGATTTTTCGGCATTCATCCAGTTTTCAGCAATCCTTTTCAAACCTTTCGGAATTTTACCAAAACTGAGCATAAAATACGTCTTAATTTCGATTTTTTCCCATGTAACTTCATCGATTACTCAATCAATAATCCCTCAACTCAAGACCTAACCCTGTCCACTTCGGTGGAAGGAAAAAGCTATCTGTACATTTTCGAAAATGGAGACCCTCTCGAACACCTCACCCGTACAGGAATTTCCGAACACGGAGCAATCGGCAAGGAAAGAATTTTTGGAGATCGCGTGAAAAAATTCCACAACATTCCCAACAATACTGAGGAAATAATCATGTATTCACCCGATGGGTCACTGGAGGTCTGCCTCCTTCCAAAATCGACTCCTTCACGCTGTCAGAGCCTTCGAACGGTTGCTTCAGCGTGATCAGCTCATAGAGAAACATGGCAAATGAGAAGCAGTCAACTTTTTCAGTGTACTCCTCTTCTCCGTTAAATTGTAAAATTTCAGGCGCCATATAACCTTCCGTCCCGCCGAATCCCTTCGTTCCCGTCGGCAAACTCGCTCGACTGATCCCATAATCGCCGAGCTTAATACGAACTGAGCTGGAGGAATCCGTCACAGCAGTATGGCGGTCCAGCCTACATTACGAAGAAATGATCTTTCAGTTGCCTGGTACACAGCGTACACTATTACAGACGGCACTAACAAATGTGGTCTATCGAAGAGAATCGCATACTCTCGATCTCTACGGACCGATAAAAAATAACAATTCCCATATTTTCAATCCTTATTCGTGAGATTCCGACCTGGCAAATGCGTCACTGATAATTCCTTTTGGAGCTTGCTGGATATACAGGTTGCACCGGAAATTATGGACCGAGCTTGAAAGATTAATACAGTACCGTATTTCGTAAACCGCCGAAGCTAATTCCGTTTATAGAAAGAAAGTTTAAATCAAATCTATTTTTCAGAGAAGTATATTTTATAAGATAACAGCAATCCTATCACGACAGATGAAACGACAACGACTTCGAAGACATCGATCTAAATTTTCCTCCTATACTAAATTTGTTATTATTTTTTCATTTTCAAAATATTTATTTTTTTAAATCAGTAAACGATTTTTGGTCCCCCGTACTATTCACCTCTGGAAAGGTCGAGGAAATTCCCACACGAGTACGTTCTCCGACTTCAAATCTCGGTAGATGATTCGCTGTTGATGCAAATATTCCAGTGCTCTGGCAACCTGAACCGCAGTCTGACACACGGTGTTCGTGTCTAATACGTCCCCTGATCGTTTGAAATCTTTCAACCTGCATAAAAAAGGAAATAGGCAAAACTGCGAGACTATTCAAACTACAACCAACAGGACAACATTTGAGGGGAAGAATTACACTGGACTGTACTTGATAGAAGGTTGTACAGTGATAACAAACAAATACAGCGTTCCGTTTTCATTCTAGAACCAGTCATCAATGATCAACCTTGCCAAACACGCTCAAAATATGACATTTTCCTTCAAGTATCATTGACTTAAAAACAATCACGTTCTTTTAAAGGGTTACTGCAAATAAAAAGTGGTGGAGATATTTCGCGAGGACCTTACGCATCGTAAGAACTTTCGGAAAAAATCCAGTACATTATGCAATTGAAAGGAAGCTGATGTTTACACCGATTAAAAAAATTTAACTTTCAAGTAAACGAACGTAAGGTTTCTCGCTTCCCAGATACATGCGCAGAAGCTATCAGCCTCCAAAATATTGGAGAATAAAATTTTAAAGAATGGCCATCAACTTACGAAACATTTTCCAAATACATTTCTGAATTAGATACATTTGCCTTTCCTTCAATACAGTTGAACCTTGATAACTGGAACCTACCCAAGTTCAATACAGTACTTCCCGAAGTCGAATATTTTCCGATTACCTGCCCGAATTCCCTTAGAATAAATGCATTTAAAAATCTTAACTAGGTGGCTTTTCCCTTCAATCCTTCACAACTCGAATTTTCTGGACACCTTTTTGCCGTTATTTTCCCCACAAAGAGGACAGAAAAGCAATAAAACTGAATGTGCTTTGAGAAAGATTAATTTGGCAAATGAACTTGCCTCAAAGTTCAGCATCCTTTCAACTCATTTACGAAGCGATCTGAGGCCCAGAATATCAACCAATTACAATTTCCTGTAATTCGTATTTCTTTGCCCAAACCAAAAAATTCTCAGTTTCCTCTAATTGGAAATTTCAAAAGCTCGAACTGTTTGATTGGTCCGAAGAATTTCGACTTGAAGAGGTTCAAGTGTATGACCATCAAGACGGTCGAACAATATATGAGGATACAATTTTAATATACAAATTAATACTGGTATGTATTCTCTCGTAGAAAAGCCCTGTGTTGAAACATTGATTACGAAAACCATTGACTGCATTTTGTAAACTCAAACTAAAATCCACTTCCTAGAAATGACTAGGAACAGAATCCTCAAAAAATCATAAAGACATTTTTACAAAGAAAAATTGTTTCCTGGAAAATATCGGAGCAAAATTGTCACGTTGACAGGGGGAATAACGGAAATGCCATGATGCATTGATTTTCTAACTCAACAAAAATAGAAAGTGCATGGAAAGTCTGGAGCTTTGATACCCCATGGGTGAAAAAACCCCTCCTGAGAGCAAATTTACGGCGGATTTCCGTTTCCTGGCAGAACAGTTGTGGAACATACTTTTAGCAATGGTTGTTATTTTTGGTGTTCTGGCACATTATTCTGTCTTTTTTTTTTGGCGCACTATTCTGCCATGAGTGTGTTTATATGCCACATTTTTTGGAATGCAAAATCAGTTAGGTCTTACCTGTTGAAGATAACACTCAGAAATGCAGAATCTCAACTTTACTATTGCCAACAATTTTTTCTTTCTTTCAATTGGCTTACGTCACAAGCCAAAAGTTTTACTTTGTTCGCAAACCGACCCGAGTCAAACTTGAAAAACTTTACAAAAATAGGGGAAAATCTCCAACAAATATAGAGCATTAAAGCACAAGTTTCAAACGCAAACCAACCTATCATCCAAAGCTCCCAACGTAGCCAATTCCAGCACCAACGCCAGCGGCGAAGGACTGACTCCAACCAATGCCACGATGTGCGGATGCCTCAACGCCGACAACACTCTCAGCTCCTGTCTCGCAGTGCAGTACGCCTTACAAGCGTATTGTAACGGATCACGCGACCATTTACTGCTCGCCGCTTTGTACGCAGACTGCGCTGACTGACGAGAAGTTGAGCCTGGGTCAACCGGTTCCAGCATTTTGAGAGCCACATCCAGGTATCGCGTAGTTAATTTACGGTGACCAAGCATGCCCAAAGAAGTAGTCGAGTTCGTTGTCGACGACACTGGCAGCGTAGAGCAGTCTGCATTCGAAGTGGAGGAAGATAACATCATGGACAGAGACGTCGGTATCTGGTAGCTGCATGTCGCTGCAAACACGAAACCAAATGCTCCACGTCCAAGTAACTTGTCCCTTTTGAGAGCTTCCGGTCGAATCAGATATTTGTCACCCAAATCCATGAACACCTGGGGCAAACGTAAATATCCCGGAAATCATAAAAACGCTATTCAATTCCCATTGCTTGCATTTCCTCAGAATGCCTTCCCAAATGCATGATTTATTTAAGACAAACGAAAGAGTCATCGCCAAGAGATGGACCAGGGAAAAAGTACGCGAATCGGCAATGAACAATATTTCTTGAATGAATTTGAACCGGGCCAATGAAAAAATGGTGAATCAACTTGAATTTGTTTACATTTTCGCCAAAGGCAGGGGCTTCTGAAATTGTTACACTGTACTGAGCTTTTCTTCTTACTACAGGTTCTTTCTCTCAGCAATAAAATTCTGGAATCAGAAAAAAATTGTTAAAGAGAACCCTTATGAAATGGATCAAGAGTCGTCATACCGTATGACCAACAAAAAAAATCTTTTGACAGGGAAAATCGTTGTAGAGGGAGTCTACCTGTATTCTTTTTCTTTTTCTTGACCGTAGTGATTCTACTGTCGCTGGGTAGCTGAAGCCATATAATCAGCCATCGGAACACTTCTTACATGACCTTCATTTCGAAGCTTTTTTTCAAGGTGGCCAGTACAAGCATTTTTTAAATACTGTATATCCGTTTAAAAATCGGTCAATCCAGCTTTTATACTTTTCCGGTTGCCTGAAGAAACAATAACTTTTCCGAAAGCTTTTCCATACAGACATCGAGTACCAACGCTTTCGGGCGTTCCACAATGTAAAAAATGGTTAAATGCATGCGGAACTTCAACTGTGAACTACAAAACTTTACATTACTGTACTTCGAACACCGTTCATATTTAGAACGTCGAACTGCAGATGCTGGGTTGACTGCCATTCTTGCAGTAAACAATGACTTAAGTTTGTCGAATTCCGATTTCATACTCACGGTGTCAGGGGCAAGCAGACTCAACGCAAGTTCTCCATGCCGTAAGCAGGATACAGATTTCTCAGAATAACCTCGCAGTATGCATTCTTCAACAGTCACGCAGTAAATCGGTAGCTGTCGTGGCACCTCTACTTGGATGCCGAGTTCACTTGCTTGTCTGGAGTTTCCTTCCAAGGACGGTACACGACTGAGAAGAATGAGTTCATTTTTTAAACCGACATTTTTGGCAGAGAAATTGTTCGGTGCAACCTTTTAGATTTCTCTCGTAATTTCGAACACCTTCTTTGAACAATATCATTCGGAAAACCATCAGTATAAGTGCTTCTAAATACGAGCATCTTGGTCATGCTTTTCACCAATAACCCACACGAATCGCAGATTCTTCCAAGTTACGCTTCTGCATTTGAATTTTTGGACATGCCTTGAACGCAACATCATCGATAGGAAAACTTTGATAAAATTTAAAAAACTGATGGCAACTGATGACCGTGGAAATACTTTCAAATTTTGGAAGAGAAACAGTCGCATAATAACGCGCAGTTGCATCTGCAATGTAGCGCGTCGGTTGAAAAAAACTAATCGGCTTCCTTCTGTACAACGAGCAAGCTTGTTAGCATGCTCCATTCGTCGTCAGGAAAAGCCATCAAAGAGGGACGCAAAACCTAAATCTTCGTCATTTCTTCGAAAAAAAAAAAAGCAAACCTGTCAACCAAAGCGTAGAAGAGTATAAAAAAACTGTATCGCGGTTTGGGATTGCATTAAATTTACACTCGGCGTCTACCAGTACGGATAGCATTCGTGAGACTGGAAACTCAGTGATACAACCCATACCCAAAATAATTATCAGATAACGGAAGACTTTTACCTAGTGGAGTGATCGGAATCTTGTCCAACCCCACTGTCACCAGACCTGATGCTATCTTGGGATAAACGGGGAAGAGCCCTTGGGGATGCACTTCGCAAACGCAGTTGGAGCCAGTCCAACCCCACGGATGGCAACAGAGGTGCTTCATCCGCATCCCTTGCAATTTGCTCATTAACGCACTTCGGACAAGGAATAATCCTCGTCACAAGAAATTTTCCTTAAAAAAATAAAGATCGAACATCACGAATCCACGCATGAAGTTAATCAGTAAATCGGAACAATGAATATGGAATGCATGAACCTACCTTCGGAAGTGTGAACAAACCGCGTTCCCAATGTGGGATACCAGTCTTCCAATAAGGTGTCGATATGGTCCACAGCCAAGGCCAATAATTTGGTCGCACAAGCAGGATTAGGATCCAACACGGCAGACTGAATGTTCATACCCGACTCGGCAGTGTGGTCTGGACTCTCCGATGCCGGACGACGAATTACGACACTTTCATTTGGCAGCAGAATTTCTAGAATGCAACGCTCTGAAATGTCTAGTTCCTCCCAACCATCCTCTTGTTTTATTTCAAATCTGGATGTTTCGAAAATATTCCACTCAAGTTTCGCTCGAGTTGGCCAAGAATATTCAGGGACTCCGCATTAATAAAAATCACTGAAACTCACTTGTAATCGCGATAATTGCAAGGAGTGTAACCCATGGTTGGGAGGATTTCTCTCATCAGGAACAAGGTCGTGCTGGCATACTTCAGCTCAATTCCTGTTTGCCAACATACCCATTCTCCAGGTGAATCCAACACGGATGAAAAATTTGAGTCTTGCAAAACCTACGATAAAAATAAATACTTTAATCAAGGATAGTATTCAAGAAGTTTTTAGGAGATCATGCTGCCACTTCGTGCTTTATGTAAGCTTCCATTCTCCAACTTTTGAAACCTAAACAAATAAAACAGGTATTCTTAGAATTTATTTTTCCAAAACGCACCATGTCTCATTCACGGTGTGCATCTCACGTCACTACGGCGTGAACAACAAAAAACATTTTAGCAGACATCCAACTCACAAGATAGAAACAAAGACGAACTCCAGGATTCAGGATGACAACTCGATTGATATGCCAAAAATTCCCACTCGGACGGAAAGCAGTCATCTCTTACCAATTATCTTATATTACAATACGGTATAATCTATCTCTAGACGACCAATCATCCAAAAGTAATTGCACTGATGATCATTATGGCTGCCTTACTTGTTTTGAACGAGGGCTTGAAAATTACTTCGGGGTTTGCCTTTCTAATGAGGTATTGCTTCGGAAATACTCATGATCGACGATATCCAATAAACCCTTACCTCATGGGGAGCGTCGAAGTAACCACGTATGATTTGCATCACACTGTCATCTCCCAACATTCGAGCGGTCAAGCGCGACCAAAAGCCAGAAGGGAAATAAGACACAAGAACAAGCCGGCGCATGATTCGCTCATTATCCGATTGATGAGAAAGCAACAGCGCAGATGTCCCAGGCTTCTCTTCTTTGGCTATAATCACTGCAGGAGGCAAATGAGGTGAACAAGAATCATCTTCGTTCTCCACCGACTTTTTCTCCACGTTTGACCGCTTGATTGCCCAGGCGCGCGATCGAACTGGAATCTGTAGGGACAAGTTTGATCCAAATACAGAGTAACATCAAAGTTTACAAATGCAGTATAAATATACATTTCTTATTTATACAAAGAAAATGTAACTTACGCGAACTTCACAACCAGGAATCCCTGCACGAATCTGCACTTCTGAAGGCAATAGTGATGGTATCAGCAATGTTCTGGTGTCCCAAGTTAGACCCAACTCAAACTTGTTCAGCAAACTGACAATGTATCTCTGTGGATTCGTACCCAAAGCGGCTTGTGACGACCGAAATAAATGGGCTAAGTCGTTCAACTTCATTAAACCTGAAAGAAAAAGCGAGAGAGACGTTTTCATTTTTTGTAATACCGCAAGCAATCTTTCAATTTCATGAAGATTCTTAGCTTGACGACAACTGAAATGCCAAGATTGAACGAACCTAAACTACTGTACTACACGTTTAAGGTGAACCGACAAATCTTCCATGTCTCACCATTCTTAGCAAAAGGATTTATTTCCCGTATTGTAACTACGTGTGCCAACATATCACACAGCCATTGCGGGTCCAGGAAGTACAAATCTTTCAAAGTAGAGTCGTCGTAGTGCAGAAGTACACCATTTTCGTGCAGAAATGCTGTAGCCTGGTTCAATTCGGCTCCATCTCGAAATGCCATTCCGAAACGGCTTTTCATCTGTTTTGTCACCAGACTTCTGTATTCCCGCGTCGTTAAAACAGGATCTTCTCCCTGAAAAATTTGCCACAGGTTTTACCCTTTAACTTGTACTGTACTCCGTAAGATGTAACCGATTCATAGAAAAAGAAGAGCAAGTTACTTCAATTCATCCTCGATGAAAAGTGTAACTACGTTTCGGACGTTTTAAAGGTGCACTCCCAATCATGAGGAAGAGGCGTTTGTCTTTCAGAACGAAGTTTACTTAAAATTTGTTTTTCTTGGATTAATATTGGGATGGAATATTCATCAGTTCCAATGTGAATTAGATCCGTGATCATTTTGGAGAGTAGAGAAAGATACGAGAATTGCAACTTCTCGATGAAAAATTCCTTCCAATGGTTCAACTTTACTGAAAGACCTTTTTGTCCAATAGTTTTACAGCAGATTTACATAACGCACAAGAAACTCACCCCCTTTCTACGTTCAGCAGCAATAACACCAATGACATCTTCAAGTGCTAAATAAGTAGCAGGAATTTTCTGTTCCAGCAACCTCGGCCGGCCCAATTGTGCTCCCCCAATCGCTCCACTACTTCCACCGGTACTGGAACTTGTGCCTGATCCCGAAGACGAAGCTGAGGATCGAAGACTGAAAGCTGTGTCATAGATAAGGTTACACAGCAATCTGACGTTTTGCTTCGTCTTGCAAGAAATTTGTAATGAATCCACGACTCTCGGGAGACCAACTTTGTCGGCATCCACAAGGCCAATGAATCTCGTGCGGATAAGCGACTGCAGGTGTTCGGAATAGGACGGAGGAAACGCCTCTTGTATCAAATCGGCGTGAGTTCCGACGATGATCACAGGAGAATTTGGGGCTCTAGCCTAAAGAAAGAAATACATAAATAAAAAGTGCCAATTGAAATATCATTCCGTAATAAACTTGAAATGAGCGATTGAACTTCGCAAAAAAATTAATGAATTGTTTCTTTCCTTTTATTGAGAACTGACGGGGAACTTTCAACGCGTGAGTAAACACACAGTCTTAGAACATAACGGTATTCAAAAACTTGATTTCTAACTCCATCGAATTCCAAAACTTGGTCGATAACCAGATTTGCATCCAAGCTTCAACATCGCATGGGGCAAAATCCGTCAAAAGTTTATTCCCCTGTAAAGATAATGCGGATTTTGCAAGTTTCCAGGCCCAAAATGCGTTTCTGAACTCGAGGCAATGCACGAAGATCAGTACGACCTTTCAATGGATAACCATCAACAGAATTCTATATCATAATTGACAACTGTTTTAGACCTCGCAACTGAACGAGTGATAAAACGAGGATTAAAATATCAGCTCCACTACTGCATAGTACTGTATTCCTGGGTTAAAATTGTACACAATTATATGAGGTTAGCGAACATTGATTAAAATTAGGTTGATTAAAATGAAGGATTTTGAGTATGTTTAAGAGAATCTAAATAAAATTTCAATACAATAGTATTAAAGATGCAAAGGTCAAATGCGCGAATTGGCCGTATTTAATTTCTGAGTGGCAATTTCAGGGGGGAAAACTGCATAGACCGCAAAAACAGAAATGTTAGAGGAATATGCGGTATATAGAGACATGAAATGCTGCGAATCTATTCAATAAAAATAAGAAAAATTCTCAGACGTCCATGATTTTAATCAAGGAGAATTTCTGGATTACATGTACTCTGTGCGACGTAAGCCAGGTAAAAGTATAAGCAGAGCATAATTCGAGCTGATTCTCGCATTAGTTCAAGTATGAGACATATACGTGGAGGTTCGGCGCGACCTAGGCACAAATATCAAGAGCATGGAAATAACCTGAATTGTATTCAAAATTTTCACGGGATCAAATGCTACCGATTCTCATATGCGCATCAATATCTGTAATTTAATTGCTCTATCATGGTTGCGTGAGCATAGCCGCAAGAAAGAAAACGTTCAAACCTGTATGTTTATGAGCCATTGATGCAAATCTCGTACGCCTACTTCCCCGTCCGTAATCCGCCAAGCAACCAAGTACAATGACCGTCGGGATAAAAAGTACTGATGCGTGGCATAGTACTCTTGCTGTCCTCCGAAATCCCACGTGCGGAAAGCGACTGGACCAAAAGATGGAGGTGCAACTCCGCCTTTGGGAGCTTTCTCTCTCTTTTCGTAAACCCAATCCGCGATATCCACGCCAACTGTGGATAATGTAGTCCCACGATTGGTCTTCATGGTGGTCATGCCACGGTGGCCCATTCGCCGACCCCAGTGATCGGGTTTCCGCATTTTGGTACCGAACGGATGACCGAGAGACGACATGCTGCCACTTTCAGAGCGTAGGCATTCGAGCAAGGTGGTTTTACCAATGCCTTGGACGCCGACGACCATCAACTTCATTCTGGCATACGGTCGCGCGTCTTCGAGGATTGATCTCAAATAGCCGATGATGTCGAGAGTCTGAAAGTAAGAGAAGGTCAGAGAATTCGCGAATACGGTGTCACTCAAAAAATGTTGTAATTTTTCAATTTCAAGTACTCGCACGGAAAAAGATTCCTCATTCTTTCACGGAACCAGAACAGAAAAACCGCTCTGGGAAGTGATTTAATTAAACGTAAATACGAATAACCGTTTCCCTCATCTCGCTCGAACTTTGGTCTTCAAGTTAACCTCGTTCCATGAGTGACAGTTCAGAATGGTCATCTACGAAATTTTTGCATTTCCGATATTTCGTTGATTGAAGGGTGTCCGGAAAATGAATTGTTCTTCAAAAATGCATCAAAACTTGTGAGCTGTGACTATTGCGTCATGTCACAGTAGATTGTATTTTTTGGACTATTTATAAATTTCCATCATGTAATTTGGCATATCTTCATATAAAATCTGATGAACAATTTTAAAGCCAACATAACTTGAGTGGTTTAAGACATTTGGAACTGTCGTCAGAAAGTGAATAGAATATCATCTAGAAAGATGCTGCCAATGCATGCCCTGACTCACCCTATATTTCCTACTATCAATCATTGATCGCAATGGGTCCTGAAGTCCACAGCCACGACAATTGAGGTTCCACAGCCTATTCAATAATCCCATCTCTGGTGGCAATTCCGTGATGTCTAGAAAAGACAATAACATCAAAACAACGCTTTTTGCGAGGAATAGAGGTGCGAATAGGTTACCCGAATTGCCACTAATGTTGAGCACGGACAAGCCAGTCCAATCTTGAATGGATGGCGGAATGGAATGCAGACGATTGTTACTCACGTCCAGCATGGTCAAATTGGGAAACAAAAGCCGAGATTTCATTCCAACAGCTCGAACAGCGATCAACTGTATTGGAATACACGTTCAATAAATAATTTATGCTTAATATTTTAGAAGGGATCTTGATGAAGGAGTCTTCGCCAAACGTGAACGAAAACTTACGCTGACGTCCATTGGGGAATCTTCGAACGGGTGAATGATTTCCATGTCTCCGGAAGACACGGAGTCACTGTCATCACTCGCAACAACGATCTTTGAAAGATAATTGTCACTAAGCACCAATGTCCTCAGATTCTCCAATCGACGATGCATTTTGTGCGCACAAACACCCACATTTCCTTTACCTTTGCCTTCAAAAAGAATGAAAAAAAATAAATAAAACCAATTATTCATCAGTAATAATATCCGCACATTTTCCTCGCCCATATTTGTAATACTTCATTCCCCCAAAAATAACTCATTTTGATATAAGCGGAATAAGCCCCAATATAACGTGCAGGTATATTCCCTGTGAAGTCTTTCGAAAGCACTACTCCAATAAGAAAACCAAATTGAATTTCTAAGCTGCTTCTATTTTATGCGTAAGCCCATCCGAATAAAAATTTGGCACGACAAAAATTGGGACAGCTAGTTTGGAGGCATACTACGGATTCTGAGGGTTTGGCAATTATATCAGCCTCTACGAAGACTGGTTTTCAATTTTACACTAGGGAAATACAATTTAACACGTCCTGAATCATCCAATCAAAGATTTAACGATACATCACTTCAAATATAAGCTTTCCTACTTGTTTTGGAGACAAAAATTGTAACAAGATTTTTTTCAGATGGTATCATTTTCCGAGAAAAAAATTTGAATCTCAACGCAAGAGAAATCGGAAAAAAGTAAACAAAATCGAATGAATAGGAAAGCTTTGTAAAGGGATGAAAAAATATTAAGGCAAAAAGGAACACTATTTTTTGCTCGTCTCATTACCTTTTGCAGGTTTCTGGAATTCCGGCGAAGCATAACATCCAACATAATCAAAATCGGTTTGGTTGGACATCCATTCGTGTATACGATTTTGCGCCAAATCAAGCTGACGAATTGACGCAGGATACGCAAAAGATGGACCAACATCCGTCAAACTGTCAAAATTAATTACGCGGATTGATGCGTGGTCTATAACGTCATTTAGAAGACGATTCACATACCCATTGAAGGATAGGTTTAATCTCTGCAGAGAAACAGCCAAGCACGCCAGTCCCAACGGAAGACGATGGAACTCATTGTGCGACAGGTTCAGGTTCGTTATCTGTGACACTTTCCCTGCCATGTCGACAGATTCCCACACCGGCTCATCAAGGATTTCCACACGGGTGCGCCACAAACTATGATGCATCAACGGCAGAGTCCTAAAAATGACAAAAAATAATTGATTACCTTATTTTTACAAAAAAGTGGGCTGCTGATGGAATAAGATCAATTGAAGTATAGTAGAATCCCTAAATCTTACCCCAAAAATTTAAAATTAAGATCAGTCAAATTAATTTTGTATGCTACGACATCTAAATTGAAGTTGAATTTCATACGAGAGATACAGGGAGTATCAGTTCCGCACACTACAACTTGTAAGTTTTCGATTAAAGTTAGCTTCTCTGAATTCATACTTTTTGACTCACATTTAGAAATTTTTTCTATTCATACATTCAACCAATTTATCAACGTCATCCGATTTTGTTCTACCTTCGTTCAATTTCTCTGCAAACCTACAAGAACACTGCAAAATCGTGCGTACCACCTGAAATTTGCTGTTACCACAGGTTGAAAGTCCTGTCCTTGAGCTTATCTTGGACGGTAAAATGGCAGATAATATGTCTCGTTCTCCGTAAAAAATTGCATAATATCCATATGTTTTCAGAAGTGCAATATACTGTACAGTGTACAGTATTAAGATTTCACTAAACGTATTTGACAACAAGAAGTACGGGGGAATATTAAAGTACTGTACTACGAAACACGAAGTCATCAATAATATCTCGTTCCACAAAAAGCGGTCGAAATAAAAAAAAGGGATGAGTTTCAAGCTTTCAACGCAAGTTATTCGTAGAATATGTACAAATTCTCACTTGACATTGCCGGCATCGCGAAATACCAGAAACCCAAGTTCTGCTTCCGAAAGGGAGTCCGTCTCTTCCTGCGCCAAATCCCCCGGCAAATCATCAATAACGATTTCCTTCGAAAGCCTGAACTCCGGAGCAGCAAAAATGTTTTCGACACTTCTAGACCTTTTTGGTCCACCGCCACTCTTCATCTGCAAGATTAAAAGAATTCCATGAAAGGTTCAATTCTTTTCAGTTACACGTGTCCTCTTCACCTCCGCTTTCTTGGGTGTCGAGGGCACATCCGAGAGCAAGTTCCAGCTCGCGTTCAAATCCCTCAAACGTGGCGCAGTCCACATGGCGAAAGGCAATTCTGAAATTTTATTATTCGAAATGTCCAGCAAGACGAGGGACGGCAGCTTAAACACAGCTTCGGGCACCGAGTCCAGTTGATTGAAGCTCAGCAACAGTTCTTCCAGAACAGGAAGGCAATATTCCTTCAGTGTTCCCGGTACCACAGGTGTAGCCCCGGAGTCCCTCCATAGCCTCGAAGATCTAGTCTGCGGTCTTTCCGTCAATATCGAGATCGTGGACGGTAAACAAGAAATCTTATTTTGAGAAGCGTTGAGCAATTTCAAGCTAGGCAACTGAAAGACCACATCTGGTAAGCTTGTCAGGCCATTGGAAGATATGTCCAACCGAGTCAGAGCTGCCAAAGAAAATGCCACGTTTGTGAAGGCATTCAACTTCAGCCGTGGATTCAAAGCTAGCGAGGCTTCTACTAGCCAATTATCCTTCAGATATTTCATGCCTCGCTGGTTGTGCCAATTGATCATCACAGCAGTCGTTGGCATGACGGAGGAGTACGGAGCTAAAACGCCTGCATCAAAAAGTAAAACACACAATACAATTCAGACATGACACTATATGGTGAAGACTAGGTTTTAAGAAATCATTCCTCCGAGTGTTCTCGAATACATACGAAAGTTCGTGCTGTTGACGCTCGATAACTCGAACCTTTTCAAGTGGAATGCCTTCCTATTTCAAATTTTTTTTCAAGTCCCTCTCTGAATTCCCTCGGTAATAATCCATTAAAAACCTCCTTAAATCGAAGTTTTTTGCTGGTCCCTTGAAGTTCAACTTAAACAGGTTCGACTGCATTTGCCCATGCAAAAAGTGTGCAGTATTTACCAATACAAGAAAAATCTCTCCCACAAAAACTAATTCAAAAACAGTGATCGCGACATTGTGTCTCGGCCGAAAACTCATGTCTCACCTGGACCTGTGATCATGCCACGTCGGTTGATTTTATAATCTGGATCGGCGTGGGATTTTAAAGCGAGCAATTTCGCCATGACGATTTCGTCTTTCCCAGCAGCGGCAACGAAGAAAGCCTTACAATCATCGTCACGGGCGCCGTGCTTCAGCAGTAAGTCGATCATGCCGATATCACGAAAACGACAAGCTTCAACAAGTGCATTGGAGCCTGTGAAAATGAGACCTTCTTCCGAAGAACTCCGACGATCTTTCAAAAAGGGAAAAATAAGGTAAATTATAAAAGCACTGATACGCCACAATAGCATGAATATACATGTTAGATTGAATACAATTTATGCGATCTTGAAAAAATACGAGGACCGAAATAGATTCTTTCAATGTTCAATCCTTTGTCATGCACGAGAATCTTGCGATCACCCCGTTTATTTGGACAGAACACGTAGGAATGTTGATCTAAATTTTTAAAATGTATTGAACTGAGAAACGAAGCATGCCCGAGAATCGGGCATGCTTCGTTTCGAAATAAGGGGAAGAATTTCCCCATACAGTGTAACAACATTGACTCGTTCTATAAATTTTTGTGCAATCTTTCAACATTTTCGGGCATTAATGGGAACAATTGCGGTCAATTTTTGGCATTCGATAACACCCAGAACCCGAAGGAAATTCAGGAAACCACTACAAAATTCTTCAATCCAAAGTCACGCAAAGGAAATGCAGAAGAGGGTGTCTAACTTTTCCTTTCCTAGTTTTCACTGCGTTGGGAAAATAGATGGAACATTCTTTGCGTGTGGAGAAAGCATCAAAATCATAATTCTGCTTGATCTGAAGATTTTACAGTACTTCATTTACAGAACTCTTGAATAATTATTTTACAAGGGAAACCATACACCCTCTTTAACTAAGGATTGAGTAAGATAGAGAATTAAAAATTCGGCGAAACGATTCTGCTTTTCACATCATTTGTACCTTCTTCAGCTAGGTGAAGGCGCGCATTCGGATCAGCACCAGCAGCCAATAAAGCAGCAGCAATGCCGGAGTTTCGAGCTTTGACGGCAACGTGCAGGCACGTTTCAGTGCCCGAATTGCAGTACTCGTCGAGGTTCACCGGAGAAATCCAGTCGGACTCATTTTTAAGTCCACCATTATTTGTTTTTCCTAGTAAATATAAAAATATTTTGGGGTAATTAATTTTTTTTCACTTCCTGCTTGAGTAACTGATTCAAAACGGGTCGAGCCCATTTCTCGACTCAACGAGCATTAAAATATCAATCATACCAATATGAAGACGTGAAATTAAAGCCTGAATTCCATCAGAGATCCGTTTCCTTGTGGGACTTGTTCCATCCACGTCTTCGCCGGAGTTCCAGGGTTTTACGCCTACCAAGGCAGCACTATCTTTCCGCTTTGGTGCTTTAATTTCTTCGATATTTTGTTGAACAGTTTCTTCCTGGGGTATAGAAATTCAATTTTATAAACAATAATTTGAGGGGAACGGAATTCTCCAGATGTTCTCTCTACGTGTCCCACTACAGGCAGAATCTCGTTATGAAAAAGAAGTACAGTAATTGGAAGTTAAAAACCAGGAAAACTCTTCGACATAAAAAAAATTTCGTTACATCGAGTCTCAAATAATATAGTGACAATCCGGAGGAGACCTTAAAAGGTACTCGCCGTGAGCATGAATTCATTGGAATCCACTGTCACGAGATTATATCGGTAATGAACTACGGTATTATGCAGGAAAATTGAAAAAAAACTTACAGAGTTGACCGTTGGCGCCTTGAATTTCAGAATGGTATCGACTAATTTTTGATTTCCGAGAACACACGCTTGGTACAAGATTGTCTGCCCACTGACGTCTCTCGCATTCACATCAAAGGCCAATCTGTAGGCGACTGTTCTCTTTTCACCGGGCAATCGTTTGACAAATACCCTGCTCAAATCTTCAGGGTATTTGTGTCTCAGCAGCATATCCAAGATCCCGGAATGACCGTTGATACAACATGCATGAAGTGGGGTCCATTTTTCTACGGTTGTCGATTGAATTAATTGGGGAAATCTCTGAAACGAAGTTATTTTTGCCGATTAAAATTCAGTAGAATGATTTTGCTTGCTTGATACAAGAGACGAAGTTTCAAGATTTTCACCCAATAAAATTATCTCACCTGCAACAAAATTTCCACAATCTCCTTGCGACCATAGTAGCAAGATATGTACAAAGGAGAATACTTGGTCACAGGATGACTTCGACAATCGGCACCGGATTCTAGAAGAATTTTGACCAGCTCTTTGCACCCGTCTTCACAAGCTCTGTTCAAAAATGAAGCGTCCTATAATTAGTATGGAATCTCGCGGGTCTCGGACCACTACTAAAGAAGCTCAAGCCACTGTCATCGCCTCCTGATTTAATTTTCAATGAATATTTATTTTTACCCGTGATGACTCCTTTCGATGAATAAAATCGGACATTTGAATGCGACAAAAAATGGCAGTAGAACATGTTACTTCCTAAAGCAATCACAGAAGTCTTCCAACGGGAACTCACTTGAAAAGTAGCGTATTTGTTCCGTTTGGAGCAGCATTCACAATTTCAACGGTTTCTAACTTCCCCGTTACTTCGCAAAGCAAAGATTTGACGGATGCGACATCTTTGGCTTCAGCAGCAGCTCTCAATTTTTCATGCACTTCTTTTTTCCGTGACTCGACCGTGGCTGCGACGAGAGTTAGAAATAATTACCATCCGTTTGTTGTGCTTCAACGAAAAGATTTTACCCGCTGCAATTCGGAGTTTGGCAAGACAATCATGATGACCACCTTGCTCGGCCAGATCATATGCAGTGAGTCCATTTCCATCTCGAAGCAAGAAATCAGCCCCGAACTTCAGCAATATTTCGACATTTGCTCGATGGCCATGTTCACTGGCTATGTGTAAAGGCGTCTGGAATCACAGGAATTACGATAATTTTATCTTGAAATGTGAACTGACACCATAAAAATATATTTCTTCGCAAGAAGAATGAGGGAAGAGGAATCCTGTTCAATAGCTTATTCTAAATATAAGAAGAGAAGCTCCGCAGTCCTCAAATCCCGTAATACATCAGAGACGGAAATTAAGATACTGTATTAGAGAAAAAAGGTTTACGTCGTTGTTGAACCTGGATTAATCATTCTTAGTATGGGTTACATTTTCATACCCCAAACTTCAGCAATATTTGGACTTTCGCTCGGTGGCCGTGCTCACTGGCTATGTGTAACGACGTCTGGAATCACACGAATCGCGATTATTTGGTCTATGAATGTTAGCAGAAACAATCAAAATATATTTTATCGCATGAAGAATGCGCGTAGAGAAATCCTGTTCATTAGATTTTTCTTGAATTAAGAGGCTCCTCAGAACTCAAATTCCGAAATATATCAAAGATGGAAACTAGACTACATGCGAAGGTTGAAGTCCTTGTTGAAGCTGAAGCAGCCATTTTTCTTTCAGGATTAATTTTCATACCGCGTATATCAAGAATATATTCCTACAAGCAAACAGTTTTCTGGAAATTATCCCTGACAAACTTACTCTGAACTCTCCACGTGGTCCACAATGAATGTTCGGGTTCCCTCCGGCTTCGAGCAAAACTCGTAAAGCCCGCGAGTCAACGTTAACTGCAGCGGCATGCAAAGCAGTTCTTCCCCAAGAATCTGGTGCGTTAACGTGTCCACGAAATTCTCCTTGGAGCAAGTCCCGAACAAGTTCATCATTGTCCCACAAGGCAGCCTGAAAATCAGAATATTAAAAAAAATCTGAAATTTCAGATAAAAGTAACTATTGACAATTACCTGATGAAGCAATTGCCCGGGAAACTCTTCGGACTCCCCATTTTCGGTCCCAAATACCTCCATCACTCATCATAACAAGTATGCAACATATTCTCCTACGGAAAATTGTTTTTTTTTTTAAACAGACAAGCTTTGTTCCGCCATGAAAACTTGAAACGATTCAAAAGATGCTCCGACAATCAGATGCTCCAGGCAGTCTTTAAAAGCCCAACGAGAGCTAAACGCCATCAGTTTTATTCCATGACCCTTTGACGCCTGAACGTCTCGCGTGAATGACGCATTCGGTCAAAAATAAACGAACAAAAGCAATTGGCTAATACCCAAAACATAACACAAAAATGGCCGTCTGCACAAAAAACCATGTCTCATCAGTAAGACTCCGTCTTGCATAAACCCAACAGTCTCATAACACAGTATCAGGCGTCACTGAACGCCCAACAGCCATCAACACCCCACCTTTCTCACACACAAAAAAAAAGCGGAAAACGTAAAAAAGTCAAGTTATTCGTGCCAGATCGGTAACTCAAAAACAAACATTTCAACATCACCAGCAAAAATATGATTACAGATTTTTCCGCAATTTACAGCTCGTGAATACAGGGCGGTCCTAAAAATTATTGCGTCGTTCGGTTCGGGTAATGCATCGAAGCACAAAATTCAACGGCAGGATAATTTGAAGAACATCATGCATCGCGAATAACATGGAGCTAAAAAAGAGTCGGAAACACAAGTGGAGGGTGTCCAAAAATTCAGTGCGAAGTCGAAAAAGATGCGCTTCTGGCTTGGGTGAAACATTTGCTCAAAGGTACAGTATCAACATTTGACATGAAAACGTCGGAAAGGATTGAAGGGAATCTTTCAAGCACGAAAAAGTATCTTCCTCGCTGTTCACATTCAACCCGAAACCCGCTCGCATCTCGTTACCTGCATGGGCAATGCTTATGAGCACACATGAGGAACCCAGAAGCAAATGGAGCTCCGTAAGGTTGTTTTCAAAATACAATTTCAGTCGAGACTTCAAGTCTCTCGCAATCCGTCATCAAGAAAATGTGTCACGTACATTACAAATTCTCACCGATAAATTTTGGACACCCTAGACTAATTTTCAATGCCAAATCAAGATACACATTATTCACCAAAACGCAACTAGTGTACCAAGGGTGTAAATAAATACAAACAACTTACTTTTCACCCCACAGCAAACGGCTGCGAAGAGAAAAACTGAATAACCCGGTTATCTCAGAAATAAACTAAAATTAAAAACATGTACCAAAGGCGATGCGGACAGAAATATTCTCCTCGATGCAAACATGACTGTCATCATCCATCACTCACATACAGTTACGGCAAGATCCAATGCTTTCCTTCACGCAGCTGCACGACTAGAACTCTCTTTAAATTTCCCACACGCTGTGTCCTCGCAGTAAAATATTACAGGGATGCACAGCTTCATTGAAAAATGTAAAATCTCTTCGCACATAACCTTGTCCTCAGTTGGGGAGAGCGGAATATCAATTCGTGCGTTCACGAGGTACGGCTGAACGCATGCTATACACGTTTCTTCCGTTCGACTACGATCCAAATGTCAACCACAAGTACTGTATTAGCGAAGTAATCGCGATTTCAAAGCTAATGCAACGTAATCAACCCAATCATTAGACTCACCACACAAATAATGAAACATTTCTTCTAAAAAAAAATTGAGTAGCTAAACATTTTCCAGAATTTGAAAGAAGCAGTAAGTACTCTCTTCTGTTCTTCAGGTTTAAAAATCAAATTCATGAATCATCGTTTGCTTTTAGCTTGGGGCCGACGCACACCTCGTTTACGCATCAATGAAAAAATGAAAAGAAGACTGGACACGAAAGATCATTCAATAAATTGTTTGAGTGAACGCATGATTTCGAAAAATGATCGTCCTTATAACTATTTTCGATAAAAACCAGGATAGCAATCGACACGGCAACTGCAAGTCACCTCGGCTATTTGGCCTTCGAACGGTAAAAAACGCGTGGATGATGATGATCCGATGAGGGGGAAGATGTCGACGACGGTGGCTGCACTCGAATTATGTTCTGCTTCCCGTGTCGCACCCACAGCCTACCTGTAAATAAATGATCCAAAGTGACATCAGCCGTTTCCTACTTTGAATACACGGTAATATTCTTGCGATACACGGCAAAAATGTCGATAACGAATATAATTGGAAGAGAAAAACAGGAACGTGATTCCAACACTTGCGACGCGTGATGATCGCTTCGTTGCATTGCCTGACTGACTTTTCAAACTTACAGAACGAAAATGTCTTCTATAAAATTTCATCAGGGAAAATCAACTCATGAAAAATAAATCAATACCTTTCCGAAACTTGAAAAAATATTTTGAAGATTGCGTCAATGCCTGACCTTGCAAGTAAATGATTTTAAAACAAAATTTGAAATCAAAACTCAGTGGCATGAAGTTCAGTTACCACGTCCATTCAGTTAATAGCGTATTTGAATTCATTTTAGGCATACGAAGGGAATGCCAGAATTCCGAACAAATATTCCAAAAAAGCCACCTTCCAATAAATCCTCCGATTCTTCTTCTCAATCAAATAAAAAAAAAGCTAGCAACAATTAAACAAACAAAAAAGTGAAATTCAGCGACGATGAAAGAGATAGAGCGAGTCAAAACTTCATTATTTCAAAGGGAAAATGACAAACCAGTCACGTTTCTAAGAGAATGCAAAATTATCATTTGAAAGTCACACAAAACAAAGGCATCACCTGTCAAAAGTTGATACACCAAGCATCAAAATCTACAGCGAGACAATCAACAACACTACGTGCGAACTACAACTGCAATCACGACTCCTGCATGTCACACGGGCCAAAAATAAAAGGAAATCAACACAGCAATCAACCAAAAGCAACCAGAAGAAAAGGGTATGGAAAAGCTCTAAGAGTCGGAGAAGCACTCCCTCACCATTTGGCCAAAACAGATTTACTTCCTCTTCCACAACCTCAAAAAAGGACACAGCAACTCGAAGCCAACCTTCATCTTGAGGTGAGGGTATTGAGACCAATTACTCAGAATACGAAATTTTTTTTAGCGCCGAGAACGATTAGCATGCCTGCGCGAACAACACCGATAACAATCGAGAACAAATTAATGCAGCCTCTCGGAGAATTTCCAAACAAGAAAATACTCAGGATGTGGGGAAAAAGTGAACAGCATTCATAAAAGTACTTTCTAAACAGGCTCACATGCAATAAAAATCAAGAACTAGAAACATGTCATCAAAACACCCGCAAGCACTTCAACCGCTGACGCGAGCTACAATCCGCTACTCAAAAACCGGCGACAAATCAAATTCACTTCGTAAGTAGCGACAAAGCCCGCTTATTTTCGCGAGAAGTAGAGAATGAAAAACAATTCATTACTTTCTCTCGAAAATCAAAGGCCAATGATGACTCAACTCTGAAAAGGGGATGGCGAGGAATTTGAACTGAACATTCAAGCTTCAAAAAATCCCCCCCCCCCCCCAAACTGCAAAAAACACTTTCTCGAAAGCATGATCAAATGTTTCGAAGTTCTATAGCAAAATTCAGTTCAGCAAGCCCACTGTCGCGGGTACTCATCACTGATCTGGTCAACCAGGATAGCTCTCATGGAAAAATACAAGTATCGCATGGTATTCGCTCAGAAATTGTTGAATAGAGCACATGGAACGTATGTGTTCTATTTTAAACCAGTAGCAAGCTTTAAAATAGAACAAATTCTTCACACATTGACCATTCGGAATGACTTGAAAAATCAGAGTATTCATTTTATTACAGTATTACATTATATCAAAAAAGGTAAATTTAAAATTATTTTTACTTCCAACTTTCGATTCTGCTCCTTTCACAAGTCAGTCTTACATGCCAGAGTCCTTAATGGGAATGATCATTCAATTCAAAAATCTGAAAATTTGCGCTCAACAATAAAGGAAATATTCTTAGGATTTTTTCTTATTTGAGCAAGGATAAACGTTTTTTTTTTTCAAATGCAAGATTGCATCGTCTTCTTGGGATTCCAAGATTTAAGATAATGATCCCAGAAACCAAGGTAAGAAGACTTGCAAGCAGTCGAGAAAAAAACGTTCGGTACATTTGATTTGTAATTTGAACGAGAAGTACGGTAGTCTCTGTTTCCACAGACTATTTGAACAGAAGAACGAATAAATGTATGCATCCTCGTGAATTCATTGAATATTGATTGAACGATGAACACGTCAACAACTTTCAGTCTAACTTCAACAGGATAAGTTACTTACAACTTCGATAGACATTCTTTTTTAAGGTTAAATTTCCAAAATAAATTAGCCTCTAGTCGCGACAATAATCATGGGATATCCAAATGCATCGCCACCTGCGAAGAATTTCCAAAATTTCGCTCAGTAACCTTAGATAATTGCACAGTCTCATTTGAAATAAGATGGAAGTATTTTATTATTGTATCTTACTGTCTGCCTCATAGGATTTCCAAAATATACCTCGAAACCCTTCAAATTGACATGATGGTGGCTTCAGGACATTCAACCCCCAGCTGACCTCTTGAATAGCTGATTCCCCATCAGCAGTCACCACCTTCACGGCAGCCTCATTTCTTGAATCAGTTGAACGTTACCGGTTCCCTTCGCGGAAATCAGAGGTAAAATATAATGTCTAGCATTTAATTTTACAACTGTTGGCGTAAAGTCCACGGGGATAACTCGAACCACCTCACACCACAATCTATTTTTTTATAAACTATGTTTACATAGAACCTCCATGAAAATCGGAGAGTTCGCTCAATCCGAGCTGCTCTTCCATGAACTTCACCAGAGTTTGCCTAGTTCATATCTGTTTGACCTCTATGTCTCAAATCAGAGACTGTCAATTTAATTTAATGTTCTAAATCATCGAAGTCCAATGCAAATAAATACAATCCTCTCAAATGACGGATCCTTGTCGACTGTGTGGACATAGATGCCCCTCATGCGTGAACACCTTGCAAATCAATCGATTGAATGGCATTCAAGTACCAGTTAATCCTCCCAACCAAAAAAAAATCTCAACTCGTGAAATCGTTCTATCGACAATATTACAATTCGTAAAATATTCTAGGAAAAAAAGAATAACTCCGGATTTTAGTGTACCATTTTCAAGCTCAATACTTCAAGCCCACATCAGTATTGACCGTCACTTCGTTCAAAGAAACCCGTCCTTTCGATGCTCAACTAATAACGAGTACGCACAAACGTGTCCATACAATTTTTGTAGTTACGACAGTCCGTGGACAGTACTAGACAAAAAAGAAAATTCAAATGCTATGCATGATGAAAATATAGCTACGACCAACAGATCGAAAACAGCGAACCTCAGAATTATGTCCTCATTAGTTACGATGATTAATTTGAAGTGGAAGACTGAATCCACCGAATAGATACTAAATTTGGTTAAATAGTTAACTTCTACTCGTCTCTTTTAGAAGGTTTCCTGGTCATGTGAACATTTCTCAAGCAATTTTTTTTCAATTCAAGGATTTTCATGCACAGAATTTTCAGAATTCCCTTGGTAACCCAAAATTATAGCAATAAAACGTGAGGTTTCTGAGTACGCTTGCGAGTCACCCATAGAACGTCGGATAAAACATAGCTATCCCTTTCCAGCTAATTATCGTTTGTTCAAATAAAAAAGGTAACCATTTCGCCCAAAAAAAAAAAACGGTGACGAACGAATCGTGATCAAGTTAGCTACCTGTGCCGAGAATATTCCCCGTAGAAAGTCTAGAAACAAGCGCGTGCGATCATTTTTCTGAGATATTTTCCAGGGATGTGCCGACTGCAAACAGAAAGGCAATTTCTAGACAAGTCTCTACATATTGAAGACTATGACTAGGTATTTTATATACGTTTTAGGCGAAAATTAATCCTAAGCGATGTTTCGAATCGAACGTACCGAAGGTATGGAAAATTCTGATGAAAATTTAACCTCGGTGAATGTACCTATCAGAAAATATAAACCCACATGAGTATATGTAGCGAAGTCTTTCGAAAAATTCCTACCCAAATCGCAAGCTTTTCAGCAGACATATTACCAAAAACTGAGGAACTGTAGAATATATCTTCTTCATGATCCCCACATGTCATCATTAGTTGTCCCTGGAATAATTTTTCGTTGCATCTCTTTACCTGGTCGTATTGCGACGATTCGCCACACGAAAGAAAACATTAATTTTAAATTAACCGAATTATATCCTCACGTAATAAATACTAGTTTGTGAATCTCAAACCCCATTTTGATACGGTTCCTCGTAAGACAAGGGACATGATAACGGAATCCCATTTTTAAAAAACCGTGATAAATTCCCTCAAGTAGTTTGACCATCACATGCGTTGAAATCCTGTCATGATTAACGTTGCTTTAAGCAAACAAAGAGATCAAAATCGTGTCAAGTATCCTGATCAATAACTACACACATCTCGTCTGGATTGAAATTTTCAACGACAAAAAACCCTGTGACCAAGAAAAATTGTGACATTTGTCTGCGGGTGGGAAATGATCTAAAAGGAATTTTCTCGCAATAATCACTTGACGTAGTATGACGTCTACTTAACTTTTGAAAAAAAAATACATCAAAATACAGCTTCAGGAGTTCGCATTGCGGAACCGAAGATAACGTTAGCCATCGAAAAAACATGACTTTATGCAACAATCCGCAGAATGAGACTAGCTCCATGACGTTGTTGAACGTAGGAAAGCCGCAATTAAGCTCAGGAAGGAAGCGATTTTTCCGGCAACGTAACTACTTGCTCTGACCGACGGAAAAATACACCTCCGGGCCCCGGAACATAATTGGCACAACAGTAAACGGCACGCGCGGTACCAAGAGTCGCGCTGCTGGTAGCAGCCTCGTGGCACCACCACCACCACTACTAACACCACCACTCGCCGTTGCGCCAGCGTTCAGACTCGGCGCCGCCGGCGGCCCAGGCATCTTGCCCTCCCCGCCAGCAGACAGTGGCAGCACAAACGGCGACACTAAGAGTACGCCGGGCAAAGTCGCCGCTTTGGCCGTACCTGGCATGTCGGCTGACCGCGGGGCCGTCCATGGCGGCGGCGGCGGCAACGCCACGCCGCGAGGCTTGAGGCCGTTCAAGGAGGACGAGGATGACGATGGCGGCGGCATGTAGTTGTGACTGCTGGATGATCGGGCTCCACTGCTGCGGTAGAGGTAGTCCGTAGGTGATCGTGGCTTGCTCGACGACGATCCGCGGCTGAGGCCCAAGTCGTAATCCTGATTCAGCCCCATCAACCAAAGAACGAAACACAAGAGGCAGACAAGGAGTTCAAGACCACACTCTAGGAAATCTGAGAAGTCAAGTGCTAATGGAATCTACAAAAATAGAGATCCACAGCTAAAACAAAATTTTCGAAAATGCGCAACATTAAAAAGTGCTCTTGAATGAAACTACAGCGACACCAATCTACCTAATCTGACCTCAGCAGTAACTCAGTCCACAGACACGCCCAAAAGAATCTTAGAAAACATTCACGACGAAGAATTTCAAGCAAATATAAAGAGCTGAATAGGATTGAATGCCTATGTTGCACATAAATCTATCTTTACTAATAAAGTTACTTATCTCTGTTCCTAAGTTCGTACACACGTTTTTTTAATTTCCCTTGCCCTGCCTCCAAGAGACCAGAGTTCCCTCAGAGGTGAATTTCCCGCGTTTCTCTTCAAAAATCGTTTATAAATTTTGATTTCCACCAAACTTAAATTTTTTAACACCATTCGATGCGCGCTGAAGTTTTCTAAATTTTCATTTTTTTTTCATCAAAAAATCTCCAAAATTGACTGAATTACACTTGAAAATTCGGAACTTTTTTTAAAATTCAGGCATGCAACCACTTTTATCTTTACTAATAAAGTTACTTATCTCTGTTCCTAAGTTCGTACGCACGTTTTTTTAATTTCCCTTGCCCCGCCTCCAAGAGACCAGAGTTCCCTCAGACGTGAATTTCCCGCGTTTTTCTTCAAAAATTGTTTATAAATTTTGATTTGCACCAAACTTGAATTTTTTTACACCATTTGATGCGCGCTGAAGTTTTCTAAATTTTCGTTTTTTTTTCATCAAAAAATCTCCAAAATTGACTGAATTACACTTGAAAATTCGGAACTTTTTTTTAAATTTTCCCATGCTGCCCACTTTCCCGCCAAAACGCACAGGCGCGCAGCACCCCCCTCCCAGAGTCCCGGGAGTCCCGCCCCCTAACTCTCCCTCTCTCTGCCTCCTGAGAGCATCAGTGATGTCTGGGAGCCCACAGAGGAAGGATTGTCCTGCAGCAAACGTGAAAAACGGGGGGAAACTGCAAGTGGGAGTTCAATCGGGGGTTCAATTGTAGTTGTGGGTTGAAATTTTGCTCACCTCTTTTCTTTTGTTGCTGAATTATTAAAATCCCTTCACTTCTCTTTTTCATTTGTATTATTGTATAGGCTTTCCTTTCATAGTTCATTAGCATGCATATTTTTTGCCAAACTTCTCCAGTTTTTTGCCCTTTCCTGGATTTATTATAATTTTTCCCAGACAATGGGGAAGTGGGCTGCCCTATCTTTTGCACTCTAAAGAGCATTCTGAACTGTTGCAGTTCTTTTCATAGCTTCTGGCTACCTCCCTCATTCCACCTATAGCCCCAGAAGCAGCATCTCATAGTTCCCATTTTATTACTTTGAAAAATAATTGAAAATCTTCTGTTGCACCAAACTTCATTTTTTTCTACAATTTTGGATGCATAGTACACTTTCTTTTTGAATCTTGAAAAAAATAAGATTGACAGAGTTATGAACATAAATGTAAAAACTGAGTAAATAAAATTGAACAGAAAAAATTTGTAGAACTCCAGTAAGAATCTGGATTTTTCATTGATTTAAATGTAAAATTTTCCCATGAATTATTTAAAAAGACCAAAACTAGCTGAACTGAAATTTGTCATACAGCAGAACAGAAAGACAAGTGAACCTGTGCAAAAGTAAAATCTCTGATTAATATAAATCTTGGAAAACTGAATTGAAAAGTCAGTTTTAACCTGATGACAAAGTGTTAGTTTTTGAATCATATGCATTATGTGGACATAAGGATACAAGGAGCAAAAATGTAACCAGGAATTTAGGTATGAATATTTGCATACAAAAATGTTCATCTACAAATGAAATTAGAGTCATGTGCAGTATTTTTGAATTTTTAAATTTTGGCCTGTGCATGAAGTGATGAAAGTGTGCAATGAAAGGCAGAAGTTTGTGGATTGATTAAACTGTGGACCATTAAAAACAAGTCACTTACTAAATTTGGCCAGGTACCTGAGAAAGGGTGATGTACCAGCCCATCATCTAACCATTGTTTAAATATTCCTCTTGAACCCAAATATAAGGCTCCAGTTTTGGTGACAAAAATATAAACAAGTCACTTACTAAATTTGGCCAGGTACCTGAGAAAGGGTACCAGCCCATCATCTAACCATTGTTTAAATATTCCTCTTGAACCCAAATATAAGGCTCCAGTTTTGGTGACAAAAATATGTTTGGTCTCTTGGCTTTAAATTCTAGACACCACAGGAAAGGGTGAAAGTCAGAAGTCAGAGCCCAATCCCAATTTCTTATACACCCAAACTTTTTAATGGGACTCACGCAAGTAGGACTCCAGTTAAGTTCTAAATTTTGAAGACAGTTAAAATTAGTGATAAAGTATACTCAAGTGATCATCTCTATATTTTAAATTCTCATTTACAAGGGTATTTCAGTGATTCTGATGTTTTCCAATGTTTATGGATTTTTTCCCAAATAAAGTGCATTCCAAACTAAAGTTATAAACTAAGCCAATCACAAAACATTGATGGATGGCATTGGTGAAGTGAAATGTCACAGGTAATAAGTGAACTACCAAGGGGTTTACTGATTTCAGCCATCAATACATAATTTTAAACACATGGGAAACTGGGTTTAATTTGGAAAGGATGGGGTTCATATATCCAGGTGTACATGTAAAGCCATGGGATTTTGAACAAGTACTTTGTTCAGGGTAGGCATGTCCAAAAGAATAGGAAATTGAAACCCTCATAATGGTGAGACAATTGGGGAGGAAGGTCAGAAAATGAAGGAACTGGGATTCATGAGAGATAACAGAACCCCCTGCTTATGCACCACTCACAAATTTGAAGCCATATGTGGGTTTCTGGATGGCCAAGAATTTATATTTGAGTTGTGTTGATTTGGCTTCAAATAGTCAAAATTTCACAGGTCTCCATTCTGATGCAAGGACACTGGGGGTGGCTTTTTCAGTTCATCTCTCAAATTGTTTCATATGAATTTGAGTGTCTGCTTTATTTCCTTCAATAAAATTAGATTAGCTTTCTGGGTACAAATTTTGATGGAAGGCCACTTGGAAAGGGGTTGCATAATTCAATTGCCAGCAAGATGCTATCTTGCTGAAGTTCAGAAATGCTATTCAGGTGTGGCTGAAAACACCTGGAATAGTGACCATAAAAATAAAGCAGGAAGAATTTTTTTTGGAGAGTGAGATGTCCATTAAACATATTACCAAGCACAAGTATGAGATTACTTTTTACCATGAAAATTTAACCATCTCCAATAATGCAATTTTTAACCATGTCTAGAAAAATGATCAGGATGCCCAGGTGTGGCTGGGCACCCCCAGCTTGTAAAATAATATTTTCAATTAAATATTATTTATTTTGCATCGCGTGGCAAATTTCAGAAATATCCCTACAATTTTTTTTAGCCAAATGGCGAAGGTGACAAATGTTAGTCGATTGATGTAGAAAAACAATGCTTTCCTATTCCAGCGTCCTTTGGAATAAGAATAAGTATTTTTTAAAGCTCGCATTAATTTATAGTACTGTACAGATATTTATCTTTATTAAAAAACAACGCACAGCACTTATAAAACAATTTTCATTTTTCCTTGCAATTATTACTAAGCATTATTTGAGATTTCCAGTCAGGGAACCAGCATTTTTGGAAAATTTGACTTCTTATTTTTTCTGTTAATTTTAACAAAACTTCGTGGTCATTAAAATTTAAATTGTTTTTTCAGCGCGACATTTTTCGAATTCATATAGTTCTATACTCGCGCATTTTGCCCGCTTTACATCTCTTTACATCTCATGTACAAAAAACTGGGAAAATTTGTTTCCGCGATTATTCAAAAGTTTAAGAAAAAAAATGCTGCAATTGTTACTCAGCACCCGAGATGTTCAGTCAGTGAAACTGCCTTTTTGGAAAAATTTGCTCATTCTTTCTGTCAATAAAAACAAAAACTAAACGGGTCATTACAAGTGGAATCGTTTTTATATCACGAATTTTTTCCAAATTCATATTTCAATATACTCGCGCACTTGGACCATTTTTGTTCCTCCCTCAGCATCCCATTTTCAAAAGGAAAAAAAGTGAGCCTCTCAATCATCACTGGGGAAGGGTTGAATTAGCGAGTAACTCATCATCCCCGAGGGACGGGTTTTCCTTCGGGAGAGATTAACCCGAGCCCCGTCAGTCCCAGAACAAGAGGAAAATTGTCACCGCGTGAGCAACAGTCAGGGTGAAGCAGCAGGAGGCCCTCGGTTGATGATCAGGCAGCTAAGCCCGCGCTGGAAACGTTCAGCCTAGCATCAGCGCTTGTCTTATTGTGCGTTGCATCGCGTTGCGTTGCGTTAGTCGGTGTATCCGCGTCTCGACGAAGTCGTCGGTTCATCTCTTGACAATCATTATTTACACGTGTTTTTATTTTTACACCTTTTGTAGTTGAATTCATGTTGCCAAGGAAATTCGCGGAATAAAAAACAATGCGTGCGTGTGTTTTCATCAAAAATAGTGCTTCTAAAGTTTATCGGAGGAATTATTGATCGTCTAATTACAAAACAAAATTTTACACTTTTTATGATTGCTGAGGAAATTCTCGGAATACAAAACATTTTGTATTTTTTTAAATCTAAAAATAGTGCTTTCACAGTTTATCGGAGGAATTATTGATCGTCTAATTACAAAACAAAATTTTACACTTTTTAGTTGAGTTATTTATAGGTTGCTGAGGAAATTCTCGGAATACAAAACATCGTGTCTTTTTTTTAAATCTAAAAATAGTGCTTTCACAGTTTATCAGAGAAATTATTTATCGTCGTCTAATAAAAATAAACAAAAGAAACTTGTACACTTTTTAGTTGACATTTATGTTGATGAGGAAATTCGCGAAATGCAAAACAATGTGCGTGTGTTTTCATCGAAAATAGTGCTTTTACAGTTTATTGGAGGAATTATTGATCGTATAATAAAAAAAAATTGTATAGTTTTTTGTTAAGTTTAGGTTGCTGAGGAAATTCTCGGAATACAAAATTTTGTGTGTGTTTTATCTAAAATCGTGCTTCTAAAAGTTTTTCGGAGAAATTATTTATCGTTTAATTGATAGAAAATTGTACACTATATAGTTGAATTGGTGTGTCTGAGGAAATTTGCGGAATGCAGAACATAGTGTGTGTGTGTGTGTGTGTCTTGAACTAAAAGTGCTTTTAATTTCATCGGATAAGTTATTCATCGGCTGATTAAGCAAAAAGTATATACGTGATGAGTGGTTGCTCTTGGAGAGTATGTTCAGCGTTATGAGAAGCAGATTTGCGCATTTGTGTCCATATGCTAATATAAGTGCAGTCTACTTTTTCGGAAATTTTTTCCAAAACTGTAATGAAGAAAAATTCTCAATTTTCATAATTCTGTATAAACACAGATGAAAAGTAATTTAGTAATTTATCCAAAGATTTAGCTCGACGACGTCTTTGAAGAAGATTTCCTCTTGAAATTCAACATAATCTTTTTTCTCCCACGGGGTTCTATTCTCATAAGTAAATTTTCTTTACAACGAATTCATTGCGTTCCTTTGAATTTCGTTGTAAAAAGAAGTCCCACCCTGTATTGCAGAGGTGTGTCTGGATGGTGTAATTATTTTATTCTTCTCTGTAAAATTGTCTACAACGAAAATGTGATATTACATAACAAAATCAGGTACGAAGGTAGATTTTATTTACAAATTTTCTGTAAACGAAGCAATTTATCAATTTTTTACTCATGGGCTTATCGTTCGTCTTCTGTCGTGCAAAAATTACCATCTGGAGCAAAGTGTTGATTATTTTGAGGATTTCAATTTTTTGTAGACGATAAATTGGTTGTGTCAGCATTAGAAAGTCCCATAATTTTTCAAAGGTTGATTCTTGTAAATTGCATGTACATTTCTTGTGATCGTTTTTGAACGTGGTCACCACAAAATTATGCGTAGAATGTTGAATTTTTTTTTGAATATTCAAAGCATTTTTCCATGCTTACATTTTTGTGTTCCTGAACTCTCAAGTATGCCGCCTAAACAAAGCTTGTCTAGTTCAAGAACCGGTTTGTATCCGGGGTCCAAAACTTACACTTGACAAAAAAATTGTAATCATAAAAGGTTGGCTGTGATCAGCTTTTGTTGCACGTGTTTTTATCCGAGTAATTGGTAGCGGATCTGGTTCAACTTCAGGTGCATTCTAATGAACTCATTCATTAATGCTTTGAATGGCTTTTTCTCATCAACTATTTCACGATGAACTCTGAAAATATTTTTCATAGGATACCTTCGAACTTAATCGAGTTCATCTCTTACGATTAAAAAAAAAATCATCATTGAACAGTGAGATCCTTGAACCGGATCTCTTATTTATTTATTTTTTTACAACCTGGACAACGTGTTTCAGAAAAAATTTCTCATTTCACGCGATATTTTCATTCGACTTTTACCGTTTTCATAAAAAAAAATAATTCGTTGCTTGAATCAACGCAGAGAGGAAAAAAAATCTTGAGATTGACTTTTCATGTGGATGAAATGGAAGAAATGAATCCCAAACTATCCACCGGAGTAATTCCGGATCTCTCAAAAAGAATCCAAAATAAAATATACGTAAGCTAAGTAAATTTATTCCAAGTTGATTAAACTTCTGAAAAAGAAATCACTGCTGAGATCGCAAAAAGATGTAGGGCTTCTTCAAATTCTATCCGCGTGACTAATATTTAAAAATTTTTATTTTACAGTTCGTGGTACGAAAAAATTTTATGAATGATCTGGGGTTGAACATTTTTTTTTTAATGCGCGAATATCATCTTCTTGACTTGATGCAGTCGAACTGCCTCCGATTCAGTGCAGTTTCAAATATGTCTGTGTATTTCTTTGCAACTTTCTCATGCGAATGGATTTATTGATATTTTTAATTTTTGTTTTGTTCAATGACAGAGAGCCGGGTTTTCCTTTGTCAGCCCTCCGCGAAAAGCGCGTTTTCGAGGGGGACAAGGTTAACAGCGGTAGAAATCAAAGGGCATTCGTATCATTTCGGGCCGAATTTGTTGTCTCGATTTTTGCTTGCAAAGTCTCTTTTATCGAGAGAGTTGCAAACGCAAAATCGCAAATATTCTCGGAGCCAAAAAAAAAGAATGACTATGTCTCGAAACGAAGACGTTTGCGCAAAATGCGCATCAGGTCGCGTGGTCGTTAAAAATTTGCCGTCATCCTCATCATCATCATCACCGTGCGTTGTAGTGATTGTCAGTCCGTCGTGGGTGTCCCGACTAGCGATTTGCACGATAATTTGCGTGCTAATCAATTGCTTGGTGGACTGTGCCGATGGGAAGAACTTGAGCAGTGCTCAGGCCAAGGCTATCCTGAAAGCTCTGACCACCAGGAGAAGCGATAGGCAGCCAGCTGCGAGAAAATTGCCCGGAGCCGGGGACACGTTTTTCAAAGAGGGTAATGTCCTGTGAAAAAGTTATCGGATACGGTATTTTTTTTTTTATCGCTTGCGGATATTTCGGCAAGGCTTTTGTTCGGGGTGATGCCGAAAAGGCGAAGAATTTTACAGGATACAGCGAGACCCCCAGATGTGGACGTGATTGGTGCATCATCAAGAGCGTCCCTAAGTCAAAATTTCCCCAAGTTGGGCCTCATTTTCTCATGAACTTACATTATATAATTTTTAATTGGTGTTTTATGGAGGAAATATTCTTCAGAATTCCATGAAACAATTTTTTTCAACTGAATTTGATTCAGTGAATATATTTTCAACTCAATAAGAACATTTGGAGAATTGAAAAGTGTATCTCTGTACAGTAAATTAAAATGTTGGCATCTGTAAAAATAACGTTCAAATCACAAAGAGAGAAGGAAGTCCCTCTATGCTATGGATAATTTTTTAAATTAACTGAATGGATGGATAAATGATGGGAGAAATACCAAATAATTTTTCTTGCATAGATCTTAGGGTTGGGAATATCTGTTTCTTGCGATTAAGCCTGATGAAAGTAACCTTTCTGGAAATTTATTGGCACTTATATCATGCAATGTCCGCATGTTGAGTCAGTGTCCATCATATGTTGGGCCTTTTTTATGCCGTTTTTATTGAAAAACAAATGTCCCTATGTTGAATGGTCCACATGTCAATATAAGGTGTCCGCATGTGGGGGTCTCACTCTTTTCATTTTCGTTTATTAAAAAAAAATTCGTTGCTTTTGAACCAACGCAGAAAAAAATGTTGAAACTGTAGGTTTCAGCGTTTCGGTGGGTTTTTGTATCAAATCGACGTGAACGTTTTTGAGGGAAATTTTCAAAATGAATGCGAAAACGTACTTCGATGAAGAATGCATCCACTGAAAAAACTCCAACGCAGGAATTTTCAGGTGAATGATAATTAAAGTCTTGAAATAGAATCAGAATACATTGATTTACTGATTATTGAAAATTTTTCAATAGGTGAATTGGTAGAGTCAGAATTGAAAAAGTCGAGTTCTTCGAAAATTATTTATTGTGATTGGTTTTCAAACATATCAGACTCCCACAACAATACCTGTCAGATTTCGTATCTTTATTTTCAAGGACAGTAGGTAGGAAGAATTTTAAGATGAAAAATTACTGTAAATGTTACAAAAAGTATCTCGGAATCAGGAAGAAAGCCACATACTTTCGTTGCAGTTTCCCGAATTGAATGAGGTATTTGAGAAATTCTGCAAATGAGTTTCATAAAATCAAGTCATTTGAGTTTTAATGTTTTTGTCCTCGCATGTATCGAGTCCGTGATTTTACTTCACCATTTCTTTCCTTTTTTCGTTGAATTGAAGCAGAACCTCAAAAGTGTTTCAATTCTACAAAAAAAAATAAAGTTTAGCAAAAATGAGCCTTTTTGCTGCGTGTCCCAGCATGGCAGATTAAAAATTACGCAAAAGTTGCAAAAATACATTCCGAATCTAGTGGTCATTTCTTCGCATCTTCTCAACTGTTCGAAAATTAATTGCGCCATATTTGGGGAATTCTGCGAATGATTTTCAAAAATGAAGGTATATTCGAATTTTCGCTGTAGTTGTGTCCTCACATGCACCGGGTGTGTGATTGATTGTAATCTTCAATTTTATCAGTATTTTTTATTCGGGTCGAAAATTATTTCATAAGATGTAAAAATAAATGATAATTTAGGAAACATAAATCCTCCTGCGATTCCCAACCTCACGGCAGAACAAATCTGTCAAGAAAATATTCCTCCGAGGGGACGAGTCAGTCAACTGAGTCGAATGACGAGGTCAATTCTTTTGTTCCAAAGTTTTTCAGAAGGCCGACTGTTATTTTATTTTCTGTCGCTTGTCTCTACTTGAGCGGTGAACGGTTTAAGGCAGATTAAATCCCGAAAGAAACAAAACCACAAAAAAGGTGTGTGAAGTGAGGACTGGAGTCAAGGACCGTGTTTCGGTCTCGCGGAAGACCCGCTATATAGACTTGATCTCTGACCTTATGTATGTATATATAAACCAAAAATGAAAAAGGGGGAAGATTCTCCAGACGTAACCCAAGGATTACTTGCTGTTTAATAGGCTTGTTAATACTGAACAATGGTACGGCCTTTGGGTTCCACTCGCAACGGTGTTTCCAACTGTTTTTTTTTTTTTTTTATTTGGCATATACTCCACGTCATCGCATTAAAGAAGAGTTTTATCGCTTCTTTGTTTGAAAGCAAATATTTTCTCTGGCTTACATTTGATTTCCATGAAACCTAAAGAAAATACAGGTAGACTCTCTACAAAGATATTCAAGGGACCATAAAAAATTCGTTGCAGAGAGAATTTCGTTGCAGACAATCCATATTAACATCGGAAAGAACCCCATGGGACCAAGACAAAATTTTTGTATACAGAGAAAATCGTTGTGCATGAGATTTTTTTACACCTCGGTATCTTTACGTTTCTGTTTTTTAATGTTTTCTCGGCCGTACAACTGAATTCCATGAAACCTAGGTTCATATATCTAATAGAGATAAAAAAATAATTTAGTTGTTTACTTCGGGTGAAACGTTGAAGGCGAAGGTGCGGTACTCATTTATAAATCTCCTTGAAATTAACATTCAATGACGATTTCTTCAGTTCTTTTATAAATGACATACGTATACTGAACAGTACTGCAGAAAAGATTCGGTTTTAACAAAGGTCAAATCTGGAATCCACGAATGAGACTTCTTCTTCTTTATTTATACTCATACTGTATATATTTTTTGGACTGACCGACATTTTAAGTTCATGAAGAAATAACTTATCGATTTTGCATAACGCAGTAATTCCGTTTTTTTACAGGAACCATACAATTTTATTCACGCGTTTTTATATTCCTGCGATTTAAAATTACTGGTTGACCGCTTAAATGAACAGGTCCGAGATCAACAGTCTAATTACATTGAAAACAGGCCCCTGCTTCACTTCGTTTGTATCTTTCAAGATTTTCTCGTTCCCATGATGATTTTGGAACGTTGTGTCGAATATGCATTTTTGGGCGAATGATGTCGCGTTTAAAAATGGACACGAAAGAACATCTGTCATTTACGCCGATTGTATAAAATTAAAAACGGCTCAAGAAATTTTTCGATTGGAGCCGGATTTTCTTTCACTAAAGAGTGAGACTATCAAACTTCAATTCGATGTTATAGTACAGTAATTATTCATACCAGCGGACTCTCTCTGCAATGAAAATCTCTCTAAAATACTTTTCTGCTCCCTTGAATTTCATTGTAGAAAATCTTTATGAAATCGATGAAGAACCCGATGGGACCTCACAAAAAATCGTCATACAGCAAAGACAGTATTTTTTTTTATCTCGAGTGCAAAGATTCAGATTTATTAAGCTAGTGTGTAAAAAAAGAGAGTTTGCTGATTTTTTATTCATTCTTCAGTTGAGACATTCTGAAAATATATTTTATTCATGCTGTTAGCTTTCCTAAAAAATATCCAATTAATTTGTCTTCTCTTTTAATTCTCATATTGAGGAATGATCTTTCTCCCCTAATAAATCTCAACAAACAATTGAACCAAACTTATATATGTTGTATATATACTGGTGAACTTTCTCTACACTGATGTTGTCCATAACGCATTTCCCTCTATAAAAAATATTTTTTTGGTGCCACAGGGTCCTCTATACCCATGTTCAGAGGGGTTCTCTGGAAATAAATTGACTTCACAACTAATTTTTTATCTTGAATCTCGTTGTATAGAGAGTCCACCTACATACTATATACTCTTATATGTGCCCAGGGCAGCCTTGGAAGAGAATTTGTGGGTACTGTATATCTCAAAAAGATTCAATTTATTTTCCTCTCTTTTTTAAATTCTTATGCTGAGGAATCTTTCTCTCCCTTAATGAATCTCAGCGTTTAATTGAGACACTATTGAACCCAGATTATATTGGGTATTGGGGACAGATGTCGCCTCAATATAAGTTAGTGTCAAGCTGAATTGACAAGTCAATGAGCGCGTAAATAAAAGACAATAATGAGACAATTTGTTATCCCTTCATAAGGTTTATCATTCGATTTTAAGTTAGTGGATAAAACTATAGAAGATATCACTAATGTATTTTCCTTGATATCTTCTAAATATATATATAAATATAAACGATAAATAAATGTGATATAAATGTGTGCCCAGGGCCGGCTTTGGAATCGAGAGAATTTTTTCGTGGGTCTCTGGGTTCGTCCGTGACCTTCGTTGCCTTTTTGCCTGGCCCGCCGTGTCGCCGGTTGTTCACCCTCGGAGTGAACCAGGGATGATCACTGGCATAATGAGCGACAAAAAAATCCGTGGTAGAAACTGGCTGCGAGGGCGAATGATGAGGATCTGAAGCAGCGGTTGATGGCTATGCGGACCTGTTGATATCCATACTTCATCTTTATTTTCTTGCTTTTCTCGTGTTCCGTTGCAGTTTGCGGTCGACAGTATTTCCCGTCCAGTCGGATCGTCGGCGGCAACAGGGCCGAATACGGAGAGTGGCCGTGGCAGGTAAATATCCAACATATATATATTTATATTTATTCCCAGAACACATCCATCCATGAATAAAATGTGTGAAATTCTTGTGCTCGTCTACGAAATCCTGCATATGATGACGAGTAAAGTCGAATCCGTCCAAGCAAAGTTGAATTTCAAAAGGTATCAGGAGGAAGAAAAAAAGGAATTTGGGAGGTTTCGATGAGTTGGGAAAGCAAGTATTTATGTTGGAGGAAATGAAGAATAATTATTTAAGGAAATTGTTATATTGGCAATATTTTGGGCCTTAAATTGCTTCTTGAATGAGTTGACTGACAATGCAAAATCTGGAGGCAGGGGTTTATTTTCCAAAATTAGTATTTCAAGACCTTCTAAAATAAAGGAATAAAAATACCTTTTTCCTTGCTTTTCTCTTTCTTATGTAAAAAAAGCAATAGCCAAAATAGCCATAATATTGAATTATTTTTACTCCATTTATTTTCAGTTTTTGAGCAAACACTTTAAGCAGTCTTTCCTTCCAACAAATGAGACATTTACCGTAAAATCTGAGCAAAATTTTTATTATTTCAACTCCAACAATATTTTCAAGTTGAAGACCGAGCGCGCGGCAGAAATGGTTCAGACTTCCGAAAAAAACGTCTAATTTTATTTTATTTTCATTTTATTACCTTTTTTTCGGAATAGGTGTCCCTGAGACAATGGAGAACAGCAGCATTTCTGCACAAGTGTGGAGCAGCATTGCTGAATGAGAACTGGGCAATAACTGCAGCCCATTGCGTCGAGAAGTAAGTATGAAATCGTGCTGATTTCCCACGAGAAGTCATCTCAATGAGAAGTCGAAGGTTTTTTTTATCTTTGTGGCTTATTTGATAAATTATATCTGGAGTTCTTCATTGCCAAAATTCGATTATTTTTTTATTCTATGAAAGAACATTTNGGTTATTTCCCGGGTTAAAATGAATTGTTTCCGATTTTTGATTTTGATGATTCAGTGCTCATCTGCTGAACCAAAGGATTTTTTTTATTTTGCTGATCATGATTTATTAAGCAATGATGGCGATGATCCCTGAAGAATTGATTACAGCATTTTCTCGGACTTTGTTAGGCACCATCAATTACAGGATTCATCTACTGTACTTTTCTTTTCCCTCAAGAATGAAAACAAATTTGCCTGCGAATTTTGAGACGCAATTTCATTACTTGCAGAAAGAGCCCATTGATTTTACTGATGCTTTCAGCGTTCACTTCATCTTCAATTAAAGAATAAATTAAGATTCAAGCTTTGGGGCCATCAGCAGGGAATTGAGAAATGTTGACAGGGGTTCAATTATATTTTGAAAATTTACATCTGCTGATTCAATTTTAATTCAAAGAGTGTTCTGTTCAGGAGCAACCCTCACTTCTCCATCAATTCTGAGATGCCATTAAATTCAAGCCCCCTTTTAAAATATTTCCAGTTTAAGAACCAATTAAAGATTAACTTCAATTTCTGCCAACGATGACGAGCGTCATTCAACTCATATACCAGCGTGAAGCAGTCGATGGAATTTTAAAAATGTGTCTCACGTTTTTTTTTAAATAATTTTTTCGCAGTGTTCCACCAGAAGACATTATGTTGCGACTCGGGGAGTATGACTTGGCATCAGAGAAGGAGCCCTACGGCTACGTGGAACGAAGAGTGCAAATCATCGCTTCTCACCCAAACTTCGACCCTCGCACTTTCGAGTACGATTTGGCACTACTGAGGTTCTATGAACCCGTGCAATTTCAGCCAAATATAATCCCGATTTGTTTGCCGGAAGACGACAAGAACTTCCTGGGAAGCTCGGGATTCGTCACGGGCTGGGGTCGTCTCTATGAAGGTGAGTTATTCTTCACAATTTTTCAAATTATCTGGGAAGAAAATAATTCTGGATGAAGAAAAAAGACAAAAAAAAAACGTTGTGTGGTAGAGTTAGCCTTCGGATGCGATTTGTGGATATCGAAAGAAATTTTTTGCTGGTGATGTTTTATATCGACGAAAGTTTTAGAAAGTTAAAAAAAAAGAGATATGGAATGAAACAAACAAAAACACAAGAAAGGAAACGCATTTTCTTCAAGGATTCCCTGCTCGAAAATTCGAAAAAATTCGACGCACAGTGTAGTACAGTAGTACTGTAATTCCATTAAGGTGACTGTTATTAATTAATTTTCAAAAGGCTTGAGCAATTTTCTCGAATAGCAAGATATTCACAAAATTCAGAAACACATTAGAGCAGGAATAAAGGGATATGGCATTTGAAAATGGGCAAACTTGAAAACGTGTATAATCGATAATAACAATTATATTCTTGAAAATCTTGATTTTTTCCATTGAGTATGACCATCTATAAGTTTTCTCATCATCCCCTTCGAATCACACGGTATTTATACAGTACTGTACTTTAATTTTGAATTAGTTCCAAATGTAAACTTCATGGACCGTCATCTCTTGGCCAGATCAAGAAGTTCAAGTTTGAAAAATTACTAGATGTCACTTGAATTGCCACATTTTCTGTTACGCGTTATCCCAGTGAATTTCCTATGATTGTTTTGACTCACATATTCACAGCAAACTGTCAAATAAACAGCGAATTGTGTTTATTTTAATTAGCTACCTTTGTTTGAGAGACGTTTTCCTTGAGGCGACGTTTTTAAATTAATGTCAAGGTTTCTCGAGCGTGTTCGCTGTTTTCTGAAATGTTTTTTCCATGGTCGATTTTTATCAAGGTAAAAAATCATACGTAGGCACACAATTCTTGTCAAAGGTAATATAAATACGCAAACTGACGATTCAAAGTAGTTATTTAAGAATGAATTGAATGAAATACAGTACCAGCACGGAGGGTCCGACGGAATTCCGACGATTAAAAGCCAAGTCCGGGTTGGAAAAAATACAACGCCGTTGGAAATTCAAAATGTATTTCAGAATAATATATACACTAGCAAGAATTTAGTGTAATATTAAAAATTTATCTATGAGGCAGTTCACAAAAATCGGCGCCGTATTCAAGCATGCTCTGTTTGAGTATGTTTCAAGCTAAAAAAAAAAAATTTCAAGTACTGTATTTCGATTTCCAGAAGTTATATACACAGTATCTCAAAATTCTCGAAGTCTCGTCAATGAATGAAAAATGCATGTGAAGAGGAACTTCCTCGAGACTAAATTCAAACTTGACCCCGCCGTGGGATGTTCTTGTCTTCATATAATTTATTCATTCCTGTTATTTTTCGAGTGTGAACCATAGGAATAAGCAGACATTCACTGTACAAGGTTTTTCTCTAGCTAACAGTGTGTCTTTCTATACAGTTTCCATTTTTATTCTTTCCTACTCTGATGTTGACCACAATCGTGAAGGAAGTCACGCTCGAGGCAATGAATAGCACCTGGGCGTGAGATCCTCCCGGAAGAAGCTGTTTTTACTATTTATTTTTGTTTTTGTTTTTGCTAAAGAAAGCATTATTTTTCATTCGTTTCATTCTTTTCGTGCCCTTCTCGGACGTGTTCCGACATGTGGAAAAAGAATTCTGTTCGGCATTTAACTAGCGGAAAGAATTTTTTTGTTCTTCCTTGGTCATCGCAAGGATGAGAGGCTTCCCGGTGAATACGAATGCGTGGGTTCCCTGTGTATATTTATGTATTTGTTTCATTTTTTAAAATTTTTCTATAAGATCTTTCGTGTAACAAATGAGCAGGAAGGTCGACGATGAGAGGCGAGAATCTCTCTTGAGGCGAGGAATTGTTGCGTTTTTCTGTTGACCTTTGGCATGTGCTGTTTGAATGAGCCGCAAGTGCAGAGAAGGTTGGGCAAATTGCGGTTGGTGTTAGTGTGATTCGAGGTGAAAGACAATCTGAGAATGTTTCTTTTTATTATTATCATCATTATTATTTTATATTTTATACGCATAATAAAAATAAGTTGCAACGTTTCAAAACGTTGGCGAAGACGAAGAGCCTTTGACCGTGATGAGTTGATGCGTATAAATCAAGAACGTGCGCAGTTTTTATTCGCATATATTTTTTTCCATTCGTCTTGCAATTTAAATTAGCGTTCTTTGAATTTTTCTTGTTAATTCCGGTTTATTGTCGGACAATTCCTCACGTAAAAATGTTGTCCTGCGGTTGAGTTGAACTTGATCGGTTCAATTTAACGTGTGCTCTTTTTCAACTAAAATCGTACACTTCTTTTTTTAAATATTAATAAGAAAAGCTCGTAGCTTGCAATAAATAAGCTGATTGCGTCTAAAATGCTATTTCAAGTGACCGATGCATTTTATGGCTGATTCTAGTTTGTGTAACCATTCATGCAACCATTGATAATGAAAATATAATATTTAGCCTCATGTTGAACGACGTTGGTTCTATAGAGACAAAGTTGGTCGTGATTTTGCTGTCCTTCGCCTGACTTGAAATAGTTTTACAAAAGGAATATCGAAAAACTGTTTTGATCGCCATTATATTCATCCTTTTTATGCAACTTTTTGAGGTTAATAAAGAGAATTAATTTTCTGATTAGGTAAGAATGGCAGAGGGTGAAACAAGTACGAGTGTAAGCAGTAAATTATGAAGTATCGGCATATTTTTTTATTCTGAATTCATCTGCAAATTATTCCTGAATATTCGCAGATATATTTCTTTTGGTCCGGAAAGCATCGAAATTTGAAGAGCTCCGTCTGTATACAGACGATTTTCTTAATTTTCAACGATGCTTTTCATATCATGATGATTTTCTAACGTAAGGTCTAACTTTTTCTAATTGCATGACAATTTTTGTTTTTGATACAACGAATCGAGGAGATTCACTTCTGCACAAGTTACATGCGTTTATTCGTCTTCGAAATACAGTTCTAAAGTTTTAAATTGGAAAATAATTTAAGATCCTCTCGTTGTCAAAAATTTCAAAAAATCTGTGATATTATAAACAGATTTTTCCCGGAATTTTGGGCAAAAAGCCGACAGAATATGATATCTTGAAATTTGCAAACGCGCTTTCATTGTTCGCCATATATAATTTAATTGAGAAGGGCATACACTTATTTTTATGATAATTGGTTGGATTAAGAAAAAGCTGACAGAATTTCCCCTGATTCCAAGTGAAGAAATCTCTGCGTCACTTTTCTTTCCTGATGCCTACATTTCTTTGCCTTGGAAAAAGGATTCACAGTTTACTGCCCAAAAGGGTTCTCAAGCGTGCGTCGGGGTTTGGAATCATAAATATGTGATTATTTACAGCAGCGATAAAGAAATAAATAGTTGATTGCGTATAGTGGATTTATCATCGAATGACATGCACCAGAGCTTCAAGAAGTCGTTTCGTTTCCGGATGAATTATTCCGCGGTCATCTTAACACGTCCGGGGACTCGAACGGACATTCGCCTTCATTTTCTTATATATAAATTTTTGAAATATTTTTTTCGCTCTTTTCGGCTTGGCTATGCGGAAGTTGTTGGGTTGTGATCCTTCAGGGGCTTGTTTACTCGAGAATAAATATTTTTTTTTTTCGTCTGCCACAATGCTTGAGTTGGTTGACAAATCGTCTGGGAAACGGAAGGATTTTGAAGAATGTGGTCGCGTCACGGAAGGGAACTTGGGTTTGCGACACGTCTTTCCTGTTACCTTGAGGCACTAATGCTTTTCTGGATATTGCTTTCAAAAATTATCTCTTTTTTCAAGTTTTAGTGAGAAAAGTGCGAAGACAATTTGAATTCCTGGCAACAGAAAGAATTCACAGCAACTCGGGCATCGTAACGATTCTGGAGTACCCATGAATTCGTTTGGAAGCTCTTGGATTATATTTTTAAAAATCACAAACGTTTTTTAAACGCTGATTATTGTCTCTTGGGAATTTTTTTGCGCATGATAGAATGGTGGTCGACTAAAAAGTTAACATGTATTTTTGAATTAATGATTTTCCCTGATTTATTGCCTTCTTCATCGGTTGCTGAAGATCTACATTCCTCAAGCTTGAAAACAATTTTGGTGCATGTAAGGTCAGGCCGTGACATTAATTATTTATTCAGAGTTGCAGTAATGTATTCCAATTGTGAAAAGAGAGAAAAAGAGCTTTATTTTGAATTGCTGCACAATTTTCAATGAAAATTGCCAACCTCATTCATGCTCTCAGACTTCGAAAGTATCTTTGAAAGAATTACATGCGTTAGGGGTTAGGCTATAATTAGGTGAATTATCCAGTATCTTCCGAAATCTTCCAGTAATTCCTCTTTTGGTAGCCTATTTTTTTTTACCAAGTTTATTGCTCGTGTTGAAATGGATTTCCTCTCGCCAGTATTAGTAATTTTGATTGATAGCCTTTTTGATGCTATTTTACTAGTCAAAAATTGCTGAACGAATTGAAATGCATCATGCAGAACCCTTTTTTATAATTTACTTACAATATTTCCAACGCTCAAAAAATGGCTTGGCGTTTATTGAGGGAAAATTTGAATGACGAGGCGTGAAATGCTTGATAATTAATCAAAACCTTTTTTTTTTAATCATCCTGTGTAGATGGACCTTTGCCGTCAGTGATGCAAGAAGTGATGGTGCCAGTGGTGAACAATTCCGACTGTGAAGTCATGTACCGGCGTGCCGGCTACAACGAACACATTCCCAACATTTTCCTGTGTGCGGGTTATGCCCAAGGTGGTTTGGACTCCTGCGAGGTACGTCAATCTGTTGTTGATAGTCCCTTTTTCACTTCGATTGCGCGCGACATCTAGATGAAGAGAAATAGATTGAGCAGCAGGTTACTGCGCTCGGTTGCGAATAGGTGTAAGCAGCTTGGGCCCTTGTTCTGTCTTGGCTTGTGACGAAAACTGAACACAACGTTTTCTAGTTTACATCAGTGATGAACTGATGACGATTGAAACCTCAAGGATTCGAACTTCCTTAAGCCAAATACCTCTTTATTTTAATTTTTTCAGGCCCTTGTCTGAATTATTTTCTGAGAATCGGTACAGCAAAGCCTTAAAAAAACTTAAAATAAACGAAAAGTCGCTGAAACGAAATTGACATTACATTTTGGCTATTGTGCAGGGACAAACAAAAATTAATTGCAAGCATTAATTTTTCATAAAGATATTCATTGTAATGATAGATTTTTACTGTATTATTAAATTATTTTCATTGTGTTCAGGGTGATTCGGGAGGACCTCTAGTGATCCAGCGAGAAGACTCAAGGTGGCTTCTAGCTGGGATCATCTCCTGGGGCATCGGTTGTGCAGAGCCGAACCAACCCGGGGTCTACACCAGGATATCCCAATTCCGTAACTGGATCAACCAAATCATCGTGTTCTGATCTTCGCACTCATCTGCCCCCGAGCAAAGATTATTACTATTTTTTTGTTTGTTCATTTGTTCAATTCCATTTGCTGCTGCTGCTGCTGGCAATCCGCCGTCGGGTTTTGTTGGTGCTAGGGCGTTTGTTGTTGCTGCCACTCATCACTGCTGCAAGAAGAAAAAAAAAGGGGCAGGAAAGCCGTTGTTGTTGCTGTTGTTTCATCATAAAGACCGACGAGGCAACGAAAGACAAAAATACGGGGGAAAGACAAATTATTTAGCGAATTATCCCTTCTTTTTTTTTTGTGTGTGCCTTCAACGCCTCACCGCGATCTCCTCAAATTCGCGCGAAAAAAAGAAGAGATTTTTGAGTGTAGGGAACGAGAAGGAAATTCGTCGTCGTTGCTTGAAAATGGTTGGACAAAAATTCCTCACTTTGAATTTCTGTATACTTTCGATAAAATTTAGGACACGTTTTATAAATCTTTGAGAATCTGTTTTATTTTTCAAAGGCGCAAACATTATAAACTCGAATCTGTGAAGATGTTTTTGAAGATTGATAGCTGAAAAAATTCAGAGCGATATTTTTCTGATTCTTCAGAAATTAAACGAGTTGACGATTTGCTTCCTAATTCTCGTCAGTTTTCAATGTTTTTTTTTTTTTCAATGCGCAGTGATATTTTTCCAAATTCAACCTTATAAAAAGAAATACGGTGATGTAGAGCTTTTCCTTTCAACATTTCCACTGCGGAGATAACACGGTTTTTTTTTTAATCCAAAATCCAAATAACCGTCCAATGTCGAGTGTTGTCTTTTTGTTTTTCATATTTAAAATAAAAGTTTTCAGTGGACAATTAATTTTACGGAGAGGAGTTTGAAATAACTCACTGCTGAAAGGATTCCTTCGTAACTTTTCTTCAATTAGAAATTTTTTTTTCATAATTTTTAATGCGCGATAGTATTTTTGAAACTTCATCTGTCAAATTCAAGTCTCTTTGCATTTGATGCGCAAATGATACCATCATTCCAAATTAAATTCGTCCCATGAAACGATGTAGCTCTCGATTTCAAGAAGAAAAAAAACTCGACTCTTCCTTCTGATTTGGTATTTGCAACACACACAAAAAAAATGAGAAAAACAGGAAATGAATTTCTAGCACTTGTCTTCCTATTTCTGATCCCAGAAAGAAACACGACGTCGACGACCAAGTTTTGTTTTTTCTTTTTTTTTTTCTCGTTTTCATATTCCTTCTCGCGGTCGTTTTGTGATAGGTGTTGATTGCGTGGTTGTAGATGCGGATTTACGC